GAAAGTACTAATGAAGTTGGGGAAAACAGCTGGGTACATGAAGCGAAGGTGTATCGAATGCTAGTTGCCGTTGTGTTAGGCATTAGTAGTAATACGTTGTGAGTAAGAAAGTAATTCTTTTTATCTAACATAAACAATGATGTTTTGAAGAAGTATGAGCATATGTTTGAAATAAAATAATATACAAGGATCACTTACTACTCTGCTGGAAAATATGCAATGTATTATTAGTAATTATTTAATTTTTAATAGCTGAGGGCCGATCTAATCTATAAATAAAACAAGATCTCTATAATACCCTTCATTAATACAATGGCTCCTTACAAGAGCTTGATTCCGATCGTTCAATTTGTATAGCAGCAGAAAAAATCGGTCAATATGCTATAGTGGTCCGATATCGGCGGTTCCGACAAATGAGCTGCGTCTTGGGGTGTAAAAGACGAGTGCCAAATTTCTGGTCAATAAAATCTGAGCGAATAGTTCGCGTATGTACAGACAGACGGACAGCCAGACGGACATGGCTAAATCAACTCAGCTCATGCTAAACATTTATGCATACGTATATTTTATAGGGTCTCCGACGTTTCCTTCTGGGTGTTACAAACTTCGCGGCAAACTTAATATACCCTGTTCGAGGGGAATAGTTTCAGAAATGTATTCTAGTATTTAAAGGATTACAAATCAGTGGAGAATATCACATATGTTATGAAGATATAATATTGCGTCAACTAAAACTATAAAAAAATTAATGACAACTATGTTCTCAGCTACATATTATTGTTAAATAAGAAGTAAACGTATATCAATAAAAGTGATATCATCGCTCTCTTCAGTGCTATAAATACTTGTTTTACAAGTGTAGATCAGTTATACGGTTGTGAATGGCATGAAGGACAAATTACTCTCAAAAGTATATATATATATATGTATGTATATATATTTTTGATTCAAAAACTGAAGACCTAAAATAAAATACATATACAGCGTCTTCCAATTGGAATAACGTGCTTTGACAGCTCGTGGCGGCCATGTTTGTTTACGTTGTGTTAACTTTTGTTAGTGCGTGTGTGTATAAGGTTTGCCGTTTCATCATGCTACGTTTCTTTTTGGCACAACTCTTGGAAATTGTTCACCGAAAAATCATTTTCTCAGATCAGTTTTCTGGTTTAAAGGCTTTATCAACAAACAAATTTCTCGGTATTAGGGTGAGTAAAATCCTCGTGTAGTTCAGAAAACATAGTTGCATCGCCAAAAATGATCGTTTGGTGCGGATTGTGGTATGACAGCACCATCGGGCATTATTTCTTTTGAATTGAGGCAAGAAATGCTGTTACCATCAATAGCGAGCATTATTACACGATGTTGACCGATTTTTTCTCGGAATTTAATGAAATGGACGCGGATGATTTTTATTTCCAACAAGACGGTGCGACACCATGTCTCACATCTAAATATGGACGTAGATTATTTTCTATGGGGGTATGTTGAACCAAAGACTTACGCGAATCAATCAGTAACGCTCAAGGAGCTCGAAGACAATATTCAGCGAATTATAGCAATAATTCCAGGAGAAATACTGCACCGGGTCATCGAAAATTGACTTAAATGGGTGGAATTAGCAAACGAATCCGTTATGGTAAATGCCATAAAATTATCATACTTCAAAAAAACATACACAACAAAAACATATAAAAAAACAGAATCAATTTTGACCAAATTTGAGTGTTTCATTTATTTCATTTCATCATCACGTCATTCTAATTGGCAGACTCTTTACATAATTGTTTATAGACAACATACAGCAAGGACTTTGCTTGACACCATGAGGTCAATAAATGGTCTCTGACACTGTGTATTTGTACACCAAAGAAAGAAGCGCAATACAATCGCACATGCGTCTGAGGACATATTAGCTCAACAACAGGAATAGTTTGTTCGATTTGCTACTCGCAAACACTTGTTGAATCGGAGACAGTTAATACCATAAAGACAGCGATGATTTTTATTATAGTTCAATAAAATATAAATTATATTATATAGAATGCATATATAAAATGTTCACACGACTTTAGGCAGAGGGGCAACCATGTCAAGTTACTTTCTTAGCTTCAGGCAGATACAAAGGTGCTAATTTAGTTTGCTATGTTTAGTAAATTTGTAATGATCATCAAAAACTTCTCATCAGAACTTGTCGCTATAATATAAATAAATAAACCATGTGGCAATCTTGCCTTCTTTACGGGTGCACTATTGTATAATTTTAGAGTAAATTTTTCCTGCCAGTAGTGTAATAGTTGTATCATTATCATATGTTGTCAATCAATTTGCGCTGTCACCACTAATATTTCAAGATAATAATTTTATATATTGTAGTATGAATATTAAATTGACACTTTTAGTTAATGCGTCGCATGTTGCACGCACCATATGTATGTATATTATACTCGGTTTGGGAATAATTGCATAATGAAATGATATTCATCTTTCCAGTCGGAAAAGATAATCATTGAAGCGTAGAAGTAGCACGCACATATACATACATACACGACAAATGCTTCCTTTTATGCAAATGCATTTCTCTCTCCCAACACACTCTTTACACATATGTAGATAGCTGCAAGTCGATCCAGGTTTCGCATAATACATACATGCATACTAATTTATATATGTGTGAGGAAGTTTTATTCATAGTGGAGAAAGAGCTCCTCATTACTCTGTTTAAGAGCTGTTATTTTTGTAATTATTGAATATTACCTGTTCTGCTAACAATTGAGTTGAACACTTGCCAATACATTGATAAGGTATGGACTCACATACACACTTGCAGCTCATATTCATAAGCATGTATTAATATTAATGATTTGGTGGCACAGTTTGCTTATGAGAATAAATTATGGATTCAATAAGACGATATTTGCCAATTATGTATTGTATTTGTGTCACAGACTCAGTTAACATAATTACTTTCAATATAACAGTATATATATAGTATATGTGTGTAAATTGCGACTGTCAACTCATACGTTGCACATACAAGTACATATACAGATGCTTTTGGATAGTGAACTATAGTTGTATGAATATACACTTTTGTATATACATACATATATAATACTATTGTATATGCGTCAATATGTTTGTATATAAATCTTGCACGCTATAAATTACTCATTAGGCTATAGTTGCATAGACCGCCGTTTACTTTTATGATGTGCTTTGATTTATGGGCTCGCATAATCAATACAATCAATCCAGTTCAGAGTACGAGTAAAATAATTTATTGCAGTTAGCAGTTTAGGTTAGGTTAGCTATTTTACATAATGTTGTCAACCAAGACCGCTAACAAAATTTAATAGGGTTTCACAGGGCATGACAAGTACCATTGGAGCTACGTGTACTGTGGAGACTTGACTAGCTACAGTTGGAAACGAGATAACTTATAATTAGTTACTGTAAACTCTCTTTTAGATCTTTTTTGAAAACTTACATGTTATTCGTCTTGACCCTATGTTAGTGAGAGCCAATTTCTAAATTCATTTCTGGCATGAGTACGACTCTCATAAAATCCATCAGTATTCAAAAGAAGAAAAAAAAACGTTAATTTCTATTGCACCGAAATAATACTATAATACCCTTAACAAATTCGAAAGCTATATGCTATAGTAACTCGATCTGAACAATTTCTTTGGAGCTTGCACCGTTGCCTTGGACAATAACCCATGCAAAAATTCGTAAAAATACCTCCCCAAATGAAATAGTTTTCAAAACAAGCACATGATTCCGATCCTTCAGTGTGTATGGCAGCTATACGAGTACGCTATAGTGATCCGATAACTACCAGGTTACGTATCTTTATATATATCTTGCTATGAGAGGGATTTCTTATAAACTGTAAACAATTGGTTCGTAAAATCAACTAAACAGTAGCTCAAGTGTGTTATCCGATTCGGCGACAGACGAAAAAAATTATTTTAAGTGGTTTGCTAAATTCCATACAGGTCTTGGAGTGGTTTAAGTGTCGATCAATGTTTTCAGTTTCGGTGAACGAAATTTCTCCGAAATGGCTGACCAAATAGCTCCGAATCTTCACACAACCTTCTTGGATATATTTGTCAGGTAACTAGCGAAAGAATAATATATTTGACATTATTTTTGATATTTTAAGTCACTCTGAAGTTTTATAATTTTTTTACAAAGCATAAAATAACGACTGCTTTTGGAGAAGCCGGCATACTGTCAAAAATCGAAATTTTGACTATACCTTCGATTATCACCTATTCTCATACATCTAAAGTGTTTTGATATTTTTATGAGAGCTAATTTCGAAGAGAAGAATCTTCCTCACTGCCAGACACCTTTTTTCGGAGTTGCTCCTGGAGATCGGCTACAGAATCAAGGGGATCCAAAATTTTTTAAAATTAATCACCGGTTTTAAATTACATTATATTATTGAAGTACTTTGTATTTTAAAAATAAAAGTTTTTAATATATTTATAAAATAAAAAGTGACTTGATAATGAATTCGCAAAAAAACAAATTTTTTTGTCACTTGCAAGTGGGTATATGTAACTCCTTAAAGGAGGCTACTACGGACGAAAGCATCACCAAAATTGTTTCAGCTGACACTAGCAAACAATGTAGTACTATATAAACCGCTAATAGTGGGTTTGAGTTATCGATAGTGCAATAAAGCACCTTCATACTTGCATTCTGGTTGGTCACGTGAAATATCAATCAAAATTTTTCTCATTACAATAATATGCTAATGGAATATCCATCTCTGGTACATTGTAAGAAAATGTTTGTTGTTTGAGCACTTGACAATGTTGTCAACAGATTTATACTGTGTCACGTCCACACAAATATACATATGTACATTCAAATACATTTTAAATTCGAAAAATTCAATTTCCTTGTGATTTTGCATTTTTGCACTTTCAAAGGGAATGCAAATATTTACCAAATTCCACTTGCATTTAATTAATTCCATTTCAACTCACCTGTGCATCGGTAAAAAGAAAGACCGTGTGATTCAAATTGAAACTGGCTGTCATCAGTATCTTTTTCAGATCATCACGCCAGTCGGTTTGCGAATATGTCTTTGTCACTTGAATCGTCATCAGGCGGCAATCGGCAATGCTGGCAGCCAATCTGCACGAGCTGCGACGTCCCGAGCCGCCCATGCCGACCATGAGGATATTGCCGCGCGGCATTTGCAACACACGCGAAACTCTGGTGGCTCGAAAAGCAATTGCCGGAAAACAAAAACGCCATTGGGATAAACGAAAACAACAATGCATGAAATCAAATGAAACGCAACAAATGAGTGTGATGATGTTGATGTATGTGTGTACGTGTGTTAGAGTGATTGTGAGCGGTGAGTGCGGCAATGAGTGAATTGTGCGTGCAATTGCGTGACATGGCGAGGAGATGAACAGATAAGTGAATTTCGGTGTTGTGTTGGTTTGATGACCAGCGGTGCAACACGGACACTGGTCGCACGGCGGTTTTGTTGCAAACCACACGAGCGCAAGCGCAAAAGTGTGGACGGCAAGACAATTGGGCGTGATAGCGCGCAACAGCAGCCGCATAGCAGACACACACATATAAATATTTGTTTGTATGTAAGCAAGTGTGTGTACTTGTATGCTGCGCGGCGGCGACATCAGTGTGCTACCGCAAAAAACATGAAATTAATAGAGTTGCCATATTGTGCTGACAAGCGTATACCAGCAAGTGTACTTATATATATATAACTATATATATGTTTGTATGTGTGTGTATGCGCGTGTGTGCGTGTATGCGCAGGCATATTTGTAAATATTGCATGTGCAATCACACACTTGGTTGGCTACAATTCACCGTTGCATGAAATACGTCACGTATACGCCACGCACGCACGCAGCCGCAAGCCTATCAGTGCTGCATCGTCGCTGTAGAAACACGCACGCACACACAGGCATGTATTTAACTGTATTGTTTGCGCTGATAATGTATCGTTGGCACACACACACACAAATACGCTTGCATATTGTTGGCGACCGCCACGCAACCACTTAACTCACCTCGATATATGCTCAATGGCGAAGCGAAACAACACCAAGTCCATCGGTGTGTGCGAGAATGTATTGTAATCGCGCAGATAATAGTGCATCAGTTTTTCCAATTTATCATAACTTTCGACCTCGTCGTAAATTTTCGGATCCGCATCTGGTTCCAAATAATTACCGTAGAATAAATTTCGCAAGTCATCATCACTCACTTTGGCGCTGGGATCGGACATGCGGTCGGCGAACGCCTGCTCGAGGGGGAAGCGGATATTCGTTTTGCATGCATTGCTCACCATGTCCAGCAGTGCGTCACGATCAAACTTCTCAATCAGTCTGTAATAATAACGTATAATAGTTAGAATAACAAAAACAACAATAAGGCATATATGATATATGCGATGCAGTCAGTGGCACGGGAAATTCCGACAGAGAAGAGCGCTTAGTGCAAGGCGTGCAATTGCATTTATGCGGTTTGTTGCATGCTTATGAATTGTTATATCAATGCGGTTAAAGTAACCGTAATAACACGGTGCGGAAAGGTGTGTACAAAAGCAGATATACCAAATAAATAGAATAGAATGTGCATAGTAATTTTAAGGTTGTTTGCCGGAATAGCGCAAAGCCGATGGATGCAATTTGTTTTTGTACAGAGTGAAAGTGAAGCATGAAGAAATATGGAGTTATGAGAAATGGAAAGAAGGTCAACCCTACTTCGCATCGATGCAAACTCTGATCAGAGTATATTGTAAATATTATAAAATATAGTGAATGTATGATATCACATGATAGCTGTATGTAAGGGCTGCGTCGAAATCTTCATGGAGCAAGACGCACGTTTTTCCTACTAACTCATAATCTGTCAATGTAATCAGCATCTACTTTCCTCCAATTGATCAGATTTTCAGATATTTCATTAAGAAGAAATGTTATAGCTTTCTCTTTTACAATATTTTCAATGTTAAAGTGTAAAATCTAGAGCAAATTTAGGACGACTCTGAAAGGTTTATTTTTATACCCTGAACAGGGTATATTAAGTTTGCCACGAAGTTTGTAACACCCAGAAGGAAACGTCGGAGACCCTATAAAATATATGTACATAAATGATCAGCTGCCCTTTTCTCACTAAGAAGCTACGCATTTGCCGGAATGGCCGATATCGGACCACTATAGCATAAAGCTGCCATCCAAACTGAACAATCGGAATCAAGTTCTTGTAAGGTGTCTATGTATTTGTGAATGGTAATATAGCTTCGGTGCAACCGAAGTTAACGTTTTTTCTTGTTTTCATTCAATTTTGAATTGATAAAGCATCGGATACGTTCGTAACTAAGTCGGTCTTTGTATTGAAAAGTGGTTAGTGAAGCGCAACCAACTTCACCTTTTCCTGACTGCTTGATTAAGCGAAAGCTAATAAATTCTTTTCCTATAACTTCTAAGTAGTATCTATTCTTCAGACCTTGGAGAGTGACGAATCGATAAACAACTGGTTTAAGCGAACGTCATAATCAATTAGAATGAAATTAGCAAGTGCTAATATACTTTTAGTGAGGTATTAAACTGTTTTGGCTGCAGCAAGGGCTCAAACGTAGTGAACCGAGAAGTGGTGAATCGAAAAAGACTAACACAATCCATTCAGTGTATCTGAGTTAAAAGCACCCTTTGCTAGCACACTTTTTAGTTAACAGCAATTCAAGGGGATATTATTTACTACAAATTGAAAATGCACCCATCGCCTGGGACCAAAAGATTGTGCCTCACATTCCTACTTTGAAATTTCTACCCGACACAAAATCTAATATTATATAATATTAGCAGCAATTTCATTTTCAGCGTAATTATTGTTTTGTCCCTATAAAAAATCTTTTCAATAAACTCTCCATTTTTCAGAAAACGACAAGATGTTATAGTAGGTTTACCAAAAACGGAGGATAAGTTCAGGTAAATCGGAGAATATATCATTACCGGTCTTTAGTTGTAGAGTGTAGAAATATCGGTTTTCTTGGCGTCACAAATGTGTTAACTAAATCCTTATATATCAGCTCTGAATAGTTAATGAGGGCTATACTTTTACGTCATTGTCTAGAAGAGGATGGCAACTAACTTTAACTAACATGTAGACCTGTTGGCTTCAAATTAGTGCCAGATAGCTTTGAATTCATGTTCTAACAATCAATATGTTAGGATATCTAACGTGAAAGCCTTCATGAGTGTTAATACAAGTATATAAATTCGATTCGAGTTGAACATAAATTTTATTATTGCAACATGTTCTCAATAAGCTGTGATATATAGGAGTGTATGTATGATTAAAATTTGGAAATTTTAATCAATAACTCTTTCTTCGATGTTTTATACTGGCCATACAACCTATTGGCTATACACAGTAACAGGTAATAACCACTTGGTTCCAAGTTCAGATTATGTGATGGATGCAATCTTTCAACCAAGCTCTCGGAGCCCAACACCTCTCCTATTAGCCAAAGCTGGCCGCTTTTGAACGATTGCTTCACCGGTCGAATTGTCAACAATATAGGTCCAAACTAAGAGTTTGGCAATAGAGTGGTAGCTCATAGTAGAAGATTCATTGTCAATTACCTCAAACACACAGCAAACCTTCCTGTATATTTTACATACACATTTTCACGCCATTGTCCACATTTAGAAAATACTATGTATCTCTTAATTATCCTTCTGTTTAATTACAAACATTCGCTACTATATATTTTTATATTTAATGGTCAAAGACAGTTTCTAAAAGCCAAAAGAAAGTTACACAAAATTTAGTGGAACTGCTACTTAAAAAGTGTTAACCCAATTCCAGACCACACTTAAAATGCCGTCACGTCAACATATGTAAAGCTATGTATCACTTCCGTGAGTAACTCGCTTATGCAGCGCGCTGTAATTACCACAAAACCACCGACCATAACCGACAGCGGGACTATATAAAAACTTAAGAGCAACTTTAGCTCCGGGCATGTATCCGCAAATAAAAAGCGAGCTAAAAAATGTAAAAAATGTGTAATTGCGAAAAGTGGCGACCACAAAATTGTCTAACATCATACAGTTTATCTGCCATTTTCATGTAGGTATGTACGAATATCTACGTGCTTGTATGTATGAATTTATGGGTTCACATATATACATATACCATATGTATGTTGGAAAGCATTAAAATAAGCGCATACTAACCGATCGTAAAACACACGATACGTTTCATGAGCCCACAAACGTCCAAGCTTCTCAACTTCCTGCAGCCTTTTTGCCGGAACGAGGACAATGCCCTGAAAGACGCGAGTGATGTCACGTAGCGAGAATGTATAATGAGATTTAGCGGGTGTTGGCAGGAAAACTCTCAATGCTTGACGGTAAACGTTGACCATTGCTTCGGCAAGACCCTGAAATCAAATGAAAATTGTACATGTTTCATACATTAAATTAAATTTTTATACATCTTTATATATATGTGCGCGTATATATGTATATAATATTATTATATATTACTACTTTAGGTACTCTTTCACGAATCTAGGTGGCATTGCATAAAAATTATATACAGCGGCAAGTCTCTTAAGTGTGTCAGTAGAGTGGTTAAAGATTGGCGTCAGTAATCCACTTTTAAGTTCGTTCGAATATAATTGATGAAGCTCCTAAAATATCAGATGTATATCTAAGTATCTAATAAGTTTGGCTTAAAGGTTAGTCTTAAGATATTTTGTATTAATAAAATAGGGAGATTGCCTACCGAGAAGTTACGAGTCCACAATATTTTATAAAGTTGCAAAGTCTCATTGCCTCGGACTCAATAGAATTAGATTACAGCGACTAAATGTATTATTAACTAAATATTACAGGGAACATTTTTATGGTTTGCATTCTTCTTAATATGTTTAGATTATTCATTTGAACTTCCTCAGGGAAACGACAATATCTTAAATTTGCCGTCTTCTTATATACCTAGAAAGTTTTTCCAAGAAACAATTGAGAAATAGGGTTCAATGACATTGATTTGGAGTGATTCGGTAAGAAGAAGAATACAATAGACATTACGAAAATATAGCATCTGAATACTCATAATGTCTGAAGCTAGTGAAAAAAGGTAAAAAGTATCGATAGCAGCTGAGTTGCTTGATGTATATTACGGTCCGTAAAATCTAAATTATGCTATCATCTATACAATTACAAAATTAAGAAATATATCTAAGTTTTGTCTACTCAGAACAATAGTGCCGGTTCACATGAACCGAACCCAGATCACGCACAAATTAAAAGCGAATCTGTAGAAAACTATAATTTTTCCAAAAAATAAAATATTTGTAAACACTCCCAATTAAGGGGTCTCAAAGTTGTGAGGTTACAGTTTAAATGTGAAAATTGTCACTACATTTTAATTGGATTATTAATATTTTCCAGTTACTCAGATATTCAAAAATAGTTTGAGACTCAGTAAGTACTCATAAATACCTTGAGAATATTAAGACATATAAATAAAAAGCAATATATTTATAATCTTGCAACATGTTGCTACAGAGTATAATAGTTTTGTTTACCTAACGGATGTTTGTATCGTCTAAAACTAATTTAAGTTTAAAAAAGTGGGTGTGGCCCCATCTCCTAATAAATTTAATGTATGTATCTTCCCAACTATTCAAGTAATATCTCTCAAATTTGCACAGAGTGAATTCTTTTGACAGTGTAAAAATGGATGAAATCGAATGTGAACCCTCCCCACTCACCACTTAACGATTTTGTTAAAGATTAATAAAAGTGAGATTAACCAATAACTACATGTGTCAGAGGCATTAAATTTTACATCCAGGAAGACACAAAAGGGCTTTATAGGAGCCGGGGTTAAAATTGGACGATGGGCTTGATACCTCCCACACTTTGTAAAATCACATAACTTCGGACCTACTCGACCACTGCAACCAAATTTAGAATTATTTTGATATTCTCATGTTACATGGAAAAAATGGGCGAAATAGGAGTGCAACCACGCCTACTTCTCCGATAAAACAAATTTAAATTCCATCTAATTTTTTCACTCTCCGGTACACACATCAAGCACCAATTAATACATCGGGAAAAAACTTTGCACAAATAGTGCAGTAAATTCGGGTGAAATGTTGCCTTTGCCCACATATAACTATTAATATCACGATTCACAAACATCCGGTTGACTTCACTTCTTATATACTGGCATCATCGGCTGGGTTTATATTTCATATACATATATCATTTGTAGATGATAATCTATTTGATTATAATTTATTCACGATTCGGTCTAACAACAAGTATTTAATTCTTTCACAATTTTTTAAAAAATTAAGTTTTCCCTTCACCTAAAGTTATTCCTTCGGCTTCGACCACTGCCAGTTGCAAGACTATGAAATGTTCGGTGACAGTCGAACTTAGCTCTGGCTTAATTGTCCTTGCTTTGATTTTTTTTTTTGTTAATTTGTCTAGACCAAAATACTTTTCTTGATAGTGAAACGGAAAAAAAAACAAAAACTGAAATTAAAATTTAATTTATATTTAGGCTTTGCTCTGCTATGCGTCAGACTTAATATTGATTATTTAAAATCTTCAAAGTATTGTTAATCTATTGAGAAGAATCAATTCCACTTATATTTCTCCTCGTTGCACATTCAAGATATATTACTTTGGCAACTAATCAGTTATATAACATTTATACATACCCTATAATCCATATAAATATATATATACAATATATATATATATATATTTATATTAATAAATATGTTCTTTTGTTGTGTGTTGTTTTATGTTTGCTAACGGCGTTCCAAGTATTACTCACCCGCGAAAGCAGCGCCACCTTTTCCGGATAATCCTTGGCGAAATGCCAATCGCCAATCGCTGTAAATATTTTAATGATGGTCGAGTCCTCGAACGAGTCCACACTAACGATAAATGTATGACGATAGAACCGCGGAAAGATGAAGTTGCTGCCACCCGGCATCCCCATCGCGCCGACGAAACTCTGCATATATAAATAATTGAGAGAGAGAGTGAGAGATAGATAGAAAGAGGAGGGCAAAGAGACATTGAATGAATCCAACAACAATAGAAACATAATAAACGCATGCACGAAGATGAAAAAAGACAATAGCAATGACCAAACAAACAACACATGAACAGGTCACATTTGTTTTTATTGTTGTTTGCGCTTTTGCAGCTTTTCCGAATTATTTTATTTAACTTGCAACTTTTTTTGTTAATGCTTCTTCTTGCCGCAGCACTGAAAAATGTTAAAAATTTATTTTCATTTTCGCATGAAAACAATAAATAAAATGTTAAAGTGAAAAGCAACAACAACAATAACAACAAAATGTTGAAGTCAAATGAGAACAATAAAATGTAAAAATTGTTTCAAAAAACAACTTTGGAATGCAAACTTTTGCAATATGTACGGCAATTTGGTGGTTGACTGGCTGTGTGGGCAGCTAACCGCGTTGCCAAAGAGGCGAAATATGCGGAAGTGCCCCCAAATGTGTAAGTACACGTATTGTATGCCATGCATGTGTGTATCTGTGTGTGTAAGCTTTAACTGTTAAACACTTACATAGCCAATTAGGGTTTGAGCGGTATGTTTGAGTGTGTGTGTGTGCCTTTGTTTTCGCTTATTTTTTGTTTTTGTGCACAAAAAGTTTTAAATATTACAAAATTGTTGTAATTTTTTAATATTATACTACAATGCTGCCGAAGCCGCGTTCGGCATTTACGTGTTTTTCGTCCTTTTTTCTCCTGTAGCCTTTGTTCCACCCACACTTCGGTTGATATACATCTTTATTGATGTACATGTGTGGAGGAAAAAGTAACGGTTTTTTTCGGTTGCTGCGCTGCGCTCAATTTCACAGCAAACAAGTTTCGTCCTGTACGGACGCAGCAGGGTCATCAAAGGTCCTCACACTTAATTAAATGGAAACCCTTTCGCATTCATGTGGCATTTTTTTGTAAATATCCATTTGTTGTTGTTGTTGCGTTTGTTGGAAATTTAAGCAATCAACTTAAAACACGCCGAACAACTACGTGGCCAAGTGTGTTTTGTTTACGAACCGATATCGGTGATGCCACTTACACCCCACATGTACATACTTTCAACTGCATGTGCAACTTTACCACTTTGCAACAACATATGTACTTATGTTTGTGTATTTGCGGCAGTCTGCATATGCAAGCATGTATGTACATTAACTATTTGCATGTTTGTTTTTTGCTGCTCACCATAGAGAGCTTTTGCCGTTAAAAAGTCACCAGTATAAACAATTTAAACAACACACCCTCCGGCACCTTCCCGCTTTGCTTACCATATCGACCAATTCAATTTTTGTTGTATCCACCAAATCAGACCAGTAGCCGTGATCCAACCATTGCCGTATCAATTCGAGTGGCGGCTGTGAGCCGTAGGTGTCCTTTGATGGCATGGCGACATCATCGCAAAATATTAAACACTGTAAAAACAACGCAAACAGCAGTGAAAGAGCAAAAAGTTAACGTGTTGCATCGAAATAATTAAAATAAAGTGAATCCTTGTAAATTAATCATTTTTTATGCCATAAAGCTATTTGCACAATTTTACCCTTTTGCCCAACGGTGGACCGTAGACGCCTTTTCGTCGCCGATCCAGTTTCGACATGATGGTCTCTTGTACCTGGAATGTAAAACAAGGAGACATATGTATTCAATAGTGTTGACTTTAAAGTAAAATAAAAAATAATCGGAATAAAATGCAATGAAACTCTTTTAATAATATTAGGTCTAGTTAAAAAATCTGTTATTTTTGCATGTAATTGAAGTTTTTATTTAGACGAGTAAGAGTGATCTGATTTGGGTCAAATATGCGCCGGTTTGTACGATGAATTTTAAAATTATAAAGGTATTTTATTCATCACACGGAAACTCTCGACAATATTGACAAAGAGTTATGACAGTCGATTTTCATATGCTTTTCTTGAGGTGATTTTTTTTTTTACCAGAAACACCAATCGTCATAGATAAGAATAAGTCGAAATCACTTGGGCCTATAAAAGGATGCATAAGAACTTCCCAACCAAGCTCCTGGTACTGAAGAGTCAATGTCGATGTGTCTGGCATGGCGTAGACCTGCTGGAACATAATTTTTCTCCTATTAGCCACTTCTAATATAGACCACCATTTGCAGCAGTTCATTGGACAGATTTGACCACGACCGTTTTCGCTTGACGTTGACGTAAGTCACTCACTTTTCATCACTATAACCATCATCATAAAAAATATGTTTTCTTTTTTGTTCTTCGTTGTTGTTTACCATATACATAATAATAAATAATAATACGTTATCAAAGACATGCAAGTTACTTGTGGGTAAATTCATTATCTAGTCGAGGCGATGTCATCGGAACACCGACTCCTATTTATATCACGTCAAATGTATATATCTTATAACCCACAGTAGTATTTTTTATATTCTGTTTTACCATGTTCGAGATAGTCGCTGAGAATGATACCACGTGAAACCAAAAAAATTACTAGATAAAACCTGGCTAACTGTTGTGTTTTCGCGTGCTTTGGACGGCTTTCATCGGGTAACAACCATATAGCGGACTGGACTTAGGTGTGTAGTGGTATATAAACGATTCGTCTATTGCCATAATCGTTCTTTGAGATCAATAAATTGAGAAGGATTGGACGAAATATCACGAAATTTTGACTGTACTCTAGTTAAGCCTAGTAGACTAAGGTAAGGATAGAGATTTGATTTTTAGCGATCTCTGGGTCAGGGCAAAGACTTTTGAGCCCATGTAGTACACATATTTAAAGGTTTCGAGCTGAAATTTAGTTAAAGGAGTTGCTGTCTTGGTATTCATAAATTAAGTGTGGAAACCTAGGTTTCTCTTCATACTTTTTATAATGTCTTGACTCGTTGCAATTGATGTCCTCCTCTATAGAAGGCGCATATGTACAGCATTTTAGAAAAATAAGACGCCTCTGACACAAAAAAAAAAAAGGAAAATTTTATTTATTTTATAATGTTTATACTACAGAGGTGACTTCAGAACATGCGAACAGATGCTAGAGACAGTCATTAACATTTCATATTATGGATAGTTTCAATTTCAAATCGCGCACGAGCTTCAACTGATCAAAAGGTAACCCACATGCGTGAATTTACATACAAAATACACTATATATGTATGCAAATATGTTTGTAGATATAGATTTGCCTTTCTAGGGCATAAATCACATTACTTCTTCAATAATTACTTAAATTTGCATAATTTAGCCACTTCTAATGCTGACTGCCTAATAACATATTCTTATTGCCTATTTCGTTTTAATACCTGTCATTTACGAATCTAGTGTTGTTTGTTGTTGCAATAAAATTGTCATGCGAATGAATATACATATAAGACGTTTAATAATAAATGGCGCACGCGAATACTGGCATCATTGTCCTACTTGTCGCTCTCAATATAGCATATAAAATGAAAGGTAAGGAAGTGTGGAGGTTAATTGGAACGGAAATTTATATAGTTTTATAATAAACGGGGTTTATTGAGGCTAGGAGACGATTTGTTTTTCAATTTTTGGCATACATTTCAGGAAAATATTTCCACCAAGGAGAGGGATGGGATAATTCAGGAGGCAATTTCGGTCACCTTCGACACTAAATTGAAAATAAGTAGTTTACTTAATTTAACAATTAATAAATAATTTAGAATAAAAAAATATAATATTTTAATGAGGTTGAGGGATGATGATGTTGTTTTTAATTTTCAACACAATTTTGATCTCACTTGTTTCGAAGCTTAACTATATTTGGTTCCACCTTGACCTCACTTGACCACCAGTTTGATGGCGTGAACCCTTGCTCCTATTTTTTTTGCTTGTGGATTCCACATAAATTTAAGAACAAAAATCTTCCTCAATGCCAGACACCTCTTTTCTTGGATTCTTCTCGAGATCGGCTACGGGATTAATGGAATTCAAAATTTTTTAAAAAGGAATCGCAACCAATTAAATTCTGTATATGTACATTGTTTTTATTTATTAATTAAATAAAATAGCCCTACATAAAACATCAGAAAAATGCAAGGTTTTCTGGCAAGTAAGTGGATCTAACCCATAAGTGGATCGTGGGGTTCCACGTTGCAACTTATATATTCCAGCAATATAATAATACGCATGCTGTGACACAACGGGAGTCATTGAACTACTTCACGGATGGCTTATCTTGTTATGCTAACATCTTTCCTTGGCAAACCTCTATTATAATAGCTGGTTATATTTTTCTCATGAAACATCAGGAAGTAAGTTGCCAGAGATATGGTAAATATTGTATCCAAGTTTAAAAGTGTTCACAATTTCTTACGTATCTTAAGAGCTGAAGACAGCTATCCAAACGTAGGTGATGCCACGCCCACTCTTCAGAGTTTTAGCAAATACTTATACTATTATTTACTTTTTTCAATTCAATATAATAAGTTTTTATCTAAAAAAATTGCCCTTATTTTTTCAACTCAAAGCAACCCCATGATTTAGATTTCGATATCGAATGATATCGAGTGCGTTCTCGGACGAAAAGGAGGACGGACAGATGACCACAAAATATGAATTCGACAACAAAAATACTGCTATGTTAACAAAATTATAATACCTCATATAAAATGCTGCGTTTGGTTAGGAAATAAATAAAATAAAATAGGTTACTTCGAAGATTAATGAATTCTAGCGGCAGAATTGAGTAACCTCTCATTATGTATGCTTGTGCGTGTGTTTGTTGAAAAAATTATAGTTTACAAAAGAATCAGAATAATAGAAATTAAAGCGCGATTTTTTTTAAAGTTTGTTATTTGGTTGAAAGCAACAAAAGAGTGCCAACTGATTAGCATAATCGAGACGCAAAGCGCTCAGCGCCGAACACTGACCAATCAAGCAGTAAAGCAAACGAGCCAGCCAACCGCCAACTAATGGTTAAATGGAGTTTGGCGAGTGATTGTAAATGTAAATGTCAAATTGTGAATAATTAAAAAGCAACAAAATTAGCATAGGGCTAATCAGAATAGAAATAAAATAGGTAACAATTAAATACAGCAAATGCGGGCAGCTAAGATAAAGTAATGGCTTGCGTGGTTTTGGTGATTAATATTTTTTTTTGCCTTTCGCTTCGGTGGCAGCAGCCAGTGTGAATATGTAGGAGGGTCACGGCGGCAGTTGAATGAACCCGAGAGGGCCAACAGCAAATAGCCTTTATGTGCAAAAGTTAAGCTCACTAGTGGTGGAGGTCGTTAAGTTGCTGGCGATTTTGTAGAAGATATCGTTGCGGTTGCTGTTGTTGCCAAACTCAATTTCAATGGCAACCGCACAAGCACGGGGGCAGCCACTTGACATGCGGCCGGTTAGATTTCAAACAAACTGTTGCACACAACAATAAAACCAGACTGAAGTTTGCATGAGTGTACAAATATGTGTGTGTGTGTGCATGTAGTGTTTGAGTATGGGCATTGCAGACACTTATGCTGCACCTACGCATTGTTGGCCGCTCCAATTTCCAGTGCTTACCTCAAAAATAGAAACTTTGTAGCAACAGCCATACACACACATACAAGCACACATATTTTCGTGTCAGCACACGGGTATTTATGGCAAGCGAAGCAGTGTCGTGCTGTTGCCAATTTTGGCATTTGAGTAGATCTCAGCAATTGCAGTGGCAAACGAGCTACCAAAATTGCTGTAATAACTGAACAATTTCCAAGCAACTTTTCGTAGCAACAATCGTTATGCATACAACATGCTACATATTGGCAGTACATCACTTTAACCGTACCAGCAATACACAACACACAAGCGCATGCTTGCTTGTTGTTTGCCATTCCTGAAATGTGCACTATACACCCCTTCACTTATACCCCTCCTACACTCCTTCACCCTACACTCCGTCCTCCGACATACAGTCATTCGTTCACTCACCAGCTGTGCACTTGTGCGTGCCGAAAAGTTTACAATGTTGACGAGATTTGTATGCTTAGGCAGTGCATTCAGATTGCTTGTGATGACAGCGCTCTTGCCGGTGCCGGTGGGTCCAATAACCAGCATCGGATAGGATTTGTTGATACAAAACTCTTGCCAATAAGTAATTTGACCGGATTCCTTTGTCGGCACGATGAGCTCACTGATAATCGCACGTTCGGGAAATATATTGGCGGTGGCGGTGGGGTCGTCGGTGGACTTCTGCCAGGTCCACCAGTTCTCCACTTCATCGAAACGATAGTCCATGAGCGAAAGTTTCTCAGGAAACATTTGACCTCGATTGAGTGAGAAATATTTGGGGCGCGGATATTCCTCATTGGCACCGTAGAGTATCTTGCGGATAAGTGTATCGAAATGCTTCTGGCCATTAACTGAAATAGAGCAGATTATAAAAGTATACATTTAGTGTGTGTTTTGATAATAAATATTTGCTGGATATCTGATAAGTTTTCTCTCTCGAAATTAAAAGTATCTGCTTGCTAGAAGCATCAACGAAATTATTCAGGAGGTAACGACTTCCAAGATACCGTTAAGGTATTTGGCTAAGGGGTGAATCACGCAAATGGGGCCACTTCTGTATTTCAACTAAAATTGGTAGGTTGATTGAGTACAAATAGGAGGCACTTGAAGACCAGACCCTCAATCGGCGGCAGTTGCCATCATTCTCACTGCGCTCCCATTACGAAGATAACGAATTAAGCCTTATCCACCAACCCAATGGATTTGATAAAATAACTGATTATTTTCCCAGCTCACCAATGTCTTTTAAGTTCTTACATTGGTAGCCGAATAAGACATCCCGTCTTAACCAAAGTAATATTTTGGCGTTTCACTATCCTCCGGGCATGCTGTACATTCTGCCGACTCCATTTTTACCAATTCAAATGTACTCAGCTTGGATATATGCAAGCTACATATGTAAGTGATTATGGGAAGAGTAACATCGCTTACTCTCTCAAAAAAGATAATGCTCAAAGTTTCCTCAAAAATTCCCCAATACAAGACAGACTGATTTCCTCGAACAGCAGATATGAATTTGACAGAATTACTAATGCTGCGATTATACAACAACAAAAGTGACAGATGAATATGAACGAAGGACATCGAGCGAATAAACTTAAAATAAAATTATTTATAAAATATAAGAAAAATACCTGTTAATGCAGATCCATAAGCCCAGGCGAAGCAAAAGAGAAACATTTGCTGAAACCAAACTTGATTAAATGTTTTGTGTTTGTCCAAAAAATGAAAGAAGAAACGTGAGAACATCTGCAATTTCGAAAAGAAAAGAAAAATCAAATATAAGTACAAAAACATGAGAATGCAGATAGATTTATGATCTAATACGACAAACCTTATACTGATACATGGGTGACGGTTCAACCATTTGTTTGCATTCTTTTAGTATAGCCAACGCGGCTGGAATTAACCAGTCAACCATATCATCGAACAGTGTCATATAGATCTCATTTAGACCCACGGTTTCAATTAAAACATTCAAGAAACTCTTATGAAATGTACGCCAACCCAGTTGTGATGGTTCCATATAGATCATGCCGCAGCGTGAGACAGTAGCCGGTGAGGCCTGCTCCAAATCGGCTGGTTCGAACATCATATTCATTGTTTTGGTCATTTGTATAATTTCACCAGACATAAGACAAAGCTTTTTATTATCATCTAAGACGGTATTTAAATTTTCAATCCACACGGCATCGACGGGTCCATCGAAGAACACCCAGTGGCGTTCAGTGGTCGGCGCGGTGGCCATTTCACGATAAGTTTTCGCCAACACACCATCATACCATTCGTGGGAAACCGGATCGAAGCGACCATACAACTGCCCCATGGTAATGGCTTTCGGATTTATTATACGATAGTTGACGGGAAATTCCTTCAACGTAGCATCTGGATCAAGACTAACACAGCGCAATGCTACAGCAAGCATCTGTGAAAAGGATATTTGTTGGAAATCAAGCGAGATTAATCTATAACTGGGTTTGATATTTGTAAGATAATTTCGTGGATTGCTTTAAAATTAGCTTGGCGTCCGGGTTCCTACGAGTGTCCGGTTATGTCCTGTATCAAAACTTTAATCACCTGATAAGCCGTTGTCTTCCCACCCATCGGTCCACCGACGATCATCAAGCCATGCCGCACGAGCAGCATTTCGTAAATTTGCAAGATTTTTTCGATAAACCATGGAGTTGGTTGTAAATTTTGTTCCTTCAGATTAATATGCAGCCATTTGAGGATATCATCGCGCTTGGGCTAAAATATAATATAATATTTTTAATTTAGAAATCTTTTTTTTTTCAAATATTGTCTGCTTTGTGAGAAATAAAACATCATAAATATTTTTAATTTTTTTCTGAAATAGGTGTAACCTACAATATCATCCCTCAGCCATTAAACATCCTAATAAGGTTTCCCATATATAAACATATGTATATATAAATGATCAGAATGGTGGGCTGAGTCGATTTAGCTATGTCCGTCTATATATGTAAAGGGTATTTTTTTAGAGGTATAGAACTTTAAATTACAATAAAACAACGATGGATGAGATAACGATCTGAAATTTCGCTCATGTTCTTTTTTCCCCAAGAAATTTGGCATGGGTTATTATCCAACAACTACATCAAAAAATACTTTTTATATACTCATACTCATTATACGGTATTATTTTCTTTCTCTGAAAGTAACAGGAATTGGTTAGAACCCCTCCTTGGTTGTTCATTCGAATTGGAAACCGATATTATCATATAATGCAGAATTGTTTGATTTAACAGTAAATAGGATTATCATTAATTTGCTCATCGCCCAATATCCGTATAGAATAATTCATGTATATTTTACATTTAATTAAATAAGCGCTTCACTGAAGCTGTATAGATAAAATCATCTATTTACCTCAGGCAGTTCGGTACCAGGGAATAAATCCATGTAAATTCCAACGAAGAGCGAAACATCTTGTTCCAAGAATTTCGGCAAGTTCACGTCAACAATGGCGCGCAACACAATTTGCGCTTCGGGCAATGTGGTATATAGACGGCGAAGTGAAGCTGAAGCCAGCAGTACGGACTTAACAGCGCGCATACCTGTAGAAATGATGTGAAAAATTTAATGAAAAAATTGTTTAAAATACGCATAATGTAGAGTTTTTCATCGTTGTGCTTAAGAAAAAAAGTAGAAGAAACTTAGACGGAAAATAAACTAAACATTCGTAAATAAAATAGAGTTGTGTGCAAAGTTATTTGGAACAAATAGTTTTCATCGAAAGAAAATGCATTAAATGTTAAGCTTTAAGTTGAAATAATTTTCATTTCACTCTCCTTTTCAGCGGTGGTCTGCGTATCGCGACACTTCGATACTTTTGAGTATAAATTCCAAATCAGCGTTAACTTTTTGGCACATTTTCTAACCCCTGTGGATTTTCTTAATATTATTTTTTTTCAAAATAAAACGTCAGCAATTCCTACGTGATAATGCCGCGAATGACAGTAAAATTTATATTTTACTACAAACATATGCAGAATCTACATACATATTTGTGTGGGTAACACCCACAAAAGTTTCTCTCCAATTTCGGCACTTCTGCGAGGCGTTAACATTCACAAAATAAGTTTTTCTATTGAAAGCCAAAAATAAGATATCTATCAGTATTTGCGTACATAAATCTAACCGTAATTGAGTGAGTAGGTGCCACCGCTGCGGCTATTTCGCCCACTCACGCAAATGTTGCTGTCAAACTTGTGAATTAACATTTTTTGGCAGGCGAAAACAACAACTAAAGCAAATCAAATGACATTCCGCAATTTCTTTTTCACATTTCGGCAATTTATCAACCAAAAGTGCTTTCAAAGTTGCTATGTAAATGCGCTTTCAATATGAAAACAATAATAGTGTGAAGACTTTTAGTAGAGGGTTCTAAGGGTCAATTAAATAGGAGTATTTTGAAAAGATTTCTTTGACGTTTACAGCGATATGAAAATGCCATTTTGAAGTTTGCAAAAGTTTCCTAGTGTGGTTGTGGCTATTATATTGTCTTCCAATCATTCTGATATTTTGTTTAATAAAATAATAATCTACAATTTTTAACTACGTGTGAAACTTGAAGCAACCGAAATTGTAGAATTTCCAAGGTTGAGAACACCACCTGGTTCTGTGAAGTGCGTTAAATTTTAAATATAGATATTAGTGGAAAGTTATTTGTAAGCCAAATATCCATTTGTTTTGGGTTACACAAAGATTAAAATTTCCCTGCTTAACTTTGAACTAACCATCGAATCTTAACATTGTATTTCGAGCTTCGAAATCTAAGAACAGCTAATAGAAGTTCAGTGTTATAAGCTCAACAATCCTATAGATTGCTTTAAAAGCTATGCCTTATTATGTGCTACCAACTTATTCTTAATGGCGCATTTCACTATGTCAAATTTAATGGAAAAACTAGTTAACTAATAAATTAATAATTATTTAATATGTCGAAAAAAATATGCAAATATAAAAGAACTGTCAATATCAGCTATGGTCGCTATAAATTGCTATTTAGATAAAATCACATTTTTTCATTGGCATGACTGTTACTGTCATTAAATTTGGTATAGTGGAAACATGTGAGGCTTATTTTGATGTGAGGTTAATTTTTATCAAAATCGGTGGAAGATATTTTAAAACGAAACAAAAAGCTGCATAAAAGCTATATTACCGTGCAAAAATACAACAGGTTCCTTAGAAGAGCTTTCATCGGCCAGTCTGTATGGCAGCTAAGAGTATATGCTATAGTGACTCGATAGGAACAATATCTTCGAAGTTTCATCATTGCCTTGGGCAACAACCCATGCCAAATTTCTTGAGGATATATAGCCAAATGAAAATTTTATGTACATGCACCTAATTCGTTCAGTTTGTATGGTATATGCTGTAGCGGTCCGGTATCGGCATTTCCGACAAACGAGCAGCTTCATGGTGAGAAAAGAATGGGTGCAAAACATCCGATCGATATTTCAAAAACTGCAGGACTATTCGTGTATACATATACAGACGGACGGACATGGCTAAATAGTCTTAGCTAGTCACGCTGATCATTTATATATATACTTAATAGGGCCTCTGACGTTTCCTTTCGTGTATCAGAAACATCGTGACAAACTTAATATACTCTGTTCGGCGTATAAAGATATGTCCAAAACCACTAAATATCATCCACGCCATTTGATTTATATTGTTTTTTGCTGGATATGAATGTTTGCCTAGATTGAGTATATTTCTTTAAGAAGAAAAGAGAAGTTCCAATGGAATAGGTAGATGCATCTAGGCCTTTAGGGGCCGATTATGAAACCACCGGCAGCAAATCTCCTCACACTATCATGCCCTCTCTGAACGATGTTGGAGGATTAAATTTTACAGGCCATCTTAGGAGTTGTATACTGTTCGATCCTAAACACGGATAATCTTTTTAGCTTCAACGTTACCCCAAATGACAAAAACTTCAGCTACGCCGATACAACACATTTAAATCTTTTGTAGAACACTAATTGTTCGGATATGTGCCCGGGACAAATAAGGCGTAAACATTTCAAAACAATAACCTACTTTTATTTTAGACATCTTTTGAAACCATATTTTTTCTAATATTTTTTCAAAGAACGAACCGTTTAAGCATAATAAAATATTCTGAAGAGTAGAAGTAAAGAAACCAGCACTAACGGATGTATTTGAGCGGATGACGTGGAGCAAACGAAAGGAAGGAAGAAATAAAGGAATAATGTCACAAAGCAAATCATCGCTGAGCGCGCATTTCCGCAATCTCATCTGCGACTATTCATGTATGTACTATCATTTTACAATATTTTCTCCACTTTCTCGCCGAGAATGCAACACTTCACTGCAACTTATCAGTGCAGCACCATTCAATAATAAAAAAAATTCATACAACATTTTCGAGAACTCTTTCGCTATTATAAGTGATAAGTGTCTTTCAACTATGTACATATGTATGTATATTCTCACACATAGATACTTAGTAACTTATAAACATACATATATACATTATTATGTACACTTGAAAAGCATTATCGACAATAAATCGAACTCATCGCGGACTGAATTAAAGAATGATTCAGATGGGCAGTCAGTCGTACAACCTCTTCTTAATAGTTCACATGCCCTACACAAACACGCCAACATATCTCATTAAATTCTTACATATATAGCACGTATGTACTTATATAATTTTTGACTTACCGTAATCGTAGTGTGATTGCGATGATAACTGTTCGGAACACAATTTATATGTGTGTACAATTTTTTGTGCCAGCATTCGCGCCTGGTCGAAACCGTTCGAATAGAGAGTGATTTCGCCAATCATGGCATAGTCAGGTACCATCATGGCCACCGTGCGGAAGAGCACTTTCAAATTGTCTGGCAATTCTGTGCGGCCAGCATAGCTGCGGGAGAAATGAGAAAAAAATATTGTTTATAAGTATTTATGAGAGTGGATTAAAAATCGCGTAATACTTGTAGTACATATCGAACAATAAGTGGGCTCATATGTACATAGATATTTAATACATTTATTTTTGATATTGAAGGGATAAAAATATATAGGTATAATGCTATACGCTACGACTACATATATACAAGGACAGTTCGATAAATCACGAACCATGGGGCTATTCTTCAATATTTTATTTAATTAGTATTATAAAAGCAACAAAAACTAAGTTATTTTTTGATTCCGACTTTTGACCACATATGAAGTTTCACACTATAAGATCTAAATGATCTGGCTCTATTCAGAAGACGTGTGCCTCGGTTTTTTGTTTCATTGTACCAAGAACACGGCTTCAGGTCGTAGTGTTGCCATTACTCATGCTTCTGAGAGACATAATGTGTTCTGTGAAGTTTTTAAATTAACAGTTTTATTCCTCGAGAAACTCCTTAAGATTTTGAATGCAAGAGTTGCTGTCAAAAATATATTATATAAAGACTGAAATCTGGACTTCCCATATAGTCCCATATAGACCAAATTGTCAACATGCAATTAGGTACTGAAACTTGAAAGATAGTAAAAGCTTCGCCTCTTCTCTACATCACTGTTGGTGATACCAAAATCGGATATATTGTATATATAGGATGATATTAAGTTTGAAAAGATTATGGGCTCATCCTAATTTTGTATTGAGTCGAAAAACTTAACTTATACTTCGTAAAGAGCTTTCACTTGAATAAATTACAAATATTGTCGTTTGAGAACACTCACTCACTTATCAAGCTACTCTCGCAGCAAACAACCAAAATAGCTAAGTGATCAAATCAAAATTTCTAACCAATGAAATTATTTTCGAAAAATTAAATTATGAGTTTACAGTCTTTGAGGTTATACTTGTGTATACATGTTCTTCTACGTGGTTAAATTTTTCAATATAAATCTGTTATATAAGTATACTTGTATATATATCGAATTAGTTTCACTTTTGTAAGTTTTTGTTGTGAATAAGAAAAGCCTGAAGTTGTAGAAATGTGTGTGTCTTCATAGAATGGAGTAATGTGAAGTGTTTGTGGTCAAAAACTTGCCGAACACCTAAATTCTATTACCGCATGGATTGCCGGAGCAACAGTTTCCCCCTTGAATTACTATCATCTGCAAAAATTGTGAAAGTAAATTGAAATGTTTACCGAACTTTGTTCAATTTCAACTGTTTACGAAGTCTGCTTAGTTAAAGTTTCCTAAGATAAGCGAGAATTGCTAAAGAATACAAAGAAATGCTAACGTAGCTGAGTGATTGTGTAAGTGTAATATTATATATATGTATGTATGTATTTGCAATTCTTCGAATAACGAAGAAGCTTTAATTTCAGTGAAAATAAATTGTTAGGATTTCTCACAAAGTTCTGGTTAATAATTATGGCGTGAAAAGCGAAAAAGTATTAGTTGAAAAATAAAATAAAAAGCGAAAAAGTATTAGTTGAAAAATAAAATATTTGAAAGCATTAGGAATTATTTCAGTTGTGATTATTTTCGTATTTTCGAATTGTCTCTATTACATATGTTGTATACGAGCAGAGTGTCTTTGATTAAAAAAAAAGTTTAAATTATTCTTTAAAAGCTTCTATTTCCAATGCACTTTTTTCTAAACGATACAGAATTAGTTATTCGATATTTTAATAAAAGCTTGAAAGACAACTTTATAATATCTTCAAACAAGATTATACAGACATAGATGACTATTTCTGTACTGTTAAGTAAACATTAAGGTTTTTTGAGCTAGAACATTTTTCTAAATATACTGATTAGGGTGGGTCAAAAACCAAATGTATTTTTTTCGTTTCGTACTCTGAAAAACTGGTTGATGGAAATGCTCTAAGAAATGCTTTCCAAGTATGAACTCTTAGTTGTATGATCTTATTATCATATAGAAAAATTCAGAACTCACTTCCAACTGCTTGAAAAAAGCAAAATTCGTTTTGTGAATTTTGTGGGAAATGGAATGCTCTACAAAATAGTCTCGTACGGCTTGCTGCGAGTATGAGTCAGTATTAACGTTAGAAGTTTGACTACTTTAAGGCAAATTTGTTATTTTTCTTTTGAATTTTGTAACTCACTGAAAAATAATCATTTTAAACTGCGCAGCTCATGGTCTTGTTGGAAATTTTCTGCTCTGCAAAAATAGGTTTACGAAAAAATCGTATGAGACCATTTTGTAGAGCATTCAGTTTCCAACTACATCCAAAAAATATTTTTTTAAACAGTTGGAAGCGAATTTGTTAACAAGAAAAAAAATATAAAACTGTTAAGCGGACGACCTTCCCGTTACAATTAGGAGCTCATGCTTGGAAATTATTTCTTAGAGGTGTCTATAAACCAATTTTACAGAGTATGAAGGGAAACAAACAATATTTTTTTGACCTACACTAATATATACATATACATATATATATTTTTTTAAAGTTTGGAACTCCACACCAACATTAAAAGGCAAGTATTTTACTCGCTTTTGAATGTGTATTCAGTTTTTCATACTAAAAATATTTTACTGTTGAAAAACTATAGAATTGGTTAGACAAACTATTGAGTATGAATGAATGAAGCAAATGCCACAAATATCCACTAATTGATGCATTCCGTACCAACTGTCTCCCAGATACTACAAAACGATAAATATGCGTTTGGGAAATCTATAATAACCCGCTGGGGCAAAGGCAAATAGCTCTTGATTACACAAATGGAAAGCGCAGAAGAACCCAAGCTAAAGAAGAAGTAACCCAACGGGATACTTTCCAAATTGTTCTACTTGATGCTCTCCCACGGAGACATATGATTTGCATCCCAGTGTAAAAATGTTCTATGTCAGAGCTGAAAATAGCTTAGTAACTTGAGAACTAGTATAAATAAATGGGTTTTATTCTTCAGAAGATGAGTTATAGTTACAGGTTTTGGTGTAATGAAAATAAATTACAAAAAAACGACTAAAACAAGCTCCCTCGAAGCCTTTACGAAGAGAATATTTTAAATTAGTTTTCATTCCATTTCTTCTCTACAGGGCATACTTAAGATATACATACATGCTCACTGCATCTTACTCACTGACAACTGAAAGTGCTGTGGTTACCACTCAACATGATGTCCTATGCCGCCGCTTTACATACATAAAAGCATACAATATTTACGGCAAATATGCAATATGTATATGATTGTCAAACCCATTGGGTAGGTGAAAAACGCGACAGTGGTCTCCGCAAAACCGAGTTGTGATCAAAGCGCGTGGGGCATCTGTTGCGATTGGAACAATTTGTGTTTGTGCATATTGGCTCGCAGTGTGCTTTCCTTGTTGCCAATGCAATATGCTAACAGCAACAACGCATGGATCGCTCATACGCACTGGCCCACACACACGCGACTCGTGCTCGTGTAAGAAAAATAGAGGATGTAGATGGTATGCAAATGTTTAGAGCGTTGCATAATCGATAGTACAACAGTAAACGGCACGGCTGGCAAACAAGTCTGGACAAATACAACAACATTGGAATAACCACAATAGAAACAAAGGTGGAAAAAATGGTTAAAAAGAATCCAGCCAAATGGTTTTGTTACGCTTGATATTTGGTAATGGAAAAAAGTGTAGGCATTTGAAAAAAACCTGTGGAGTAACGGTCACAAAATCATTGGCGGCAATACATGCTGCAATACATTAAATAGGTGGAATGTGGTGCCATTAAAAAGGAGAAGGATTCTCTACTTTAAAAATTATGTTAACGAACTTTCTAGTATGAGTCTAAACCAGAGCCTGACTCGAATATAACTTTTGAATAAAATGAAAGATGTTGTACATGTGTTCATATTCATTCGTGAAGCTGATTTCGATGACCATAAAGAATTAAGTACAAAATCCTAGAGAAATATCTGCTCTAACAGTTTATTGAGACCATCAAACCAAAAACCATTTCAGGTACATGTCTTTATAATCAAGAAAAAGATGAGATGCCAGAGAGACAAAAATCACTAAAGCCAAAACTCTGAAGTTATTTTTATTATTTACACTTAGTCGAACTATCGATTTATTTGAAAATGGACTTCAACTTCGTAAGGCAAAAAATTCTGTATATTCTATTAAACTATCTTTATTCTTTAACAGAGTATAATAAGTTCGTTTGGAAACGAGGAAGATCTTATAAAATTTATACAAATGATCAGCAAGATGAGCTGAGTCGATTTAGCCACGGTCGCCGTCTGGCTGTCTGTTTGTATATACGCGAACTAGTCCTTCACTTTTTGAGATGCAAACTTGAAATTTTGGGCACGTGCTTTTATCCCCAATAAGGCGCTCATTTGCCGGAACCACCGATATCGACCACTAAAGCATATAGCTGCCATACAAACTGAACGATCGGAATCAGTACACATTTGTACAGAAAACCTTTTTACTTGACCAGATATCTTTGGAATGGATTATTGTTTAAGGCAAAGGTTCACTCGCCGAAGAAATTGTCCAAATCGAGTCACTATAGCATATAAAAACTGGCTACTATTTGTGAAGGGTATTGTTGCTTTCTTGCAACCGAAATTTGCGTTATTTCTTTGTTTTGTGATAATTGTGTACCAATTTCAGGTTTCCATTTTTTGAGATAATTATAGCCAAACACGTAGAAGGTAATAAAAAATAGGAGGTTTAAAAAGAGTTTAAAAATATAGGTAAGTTAAATTCGTCCAGAAAACCATTTAAAGTATTGAAGGCGCCGCAGAATAGCAGATATGGCATAGCATATAATTTTTCGATAAACTCGTTGCAACTACGAATGAGATTAATAAAGTATACAGCTGTTGACAACCACAATACGACTATTTAGCACATGAGAGCAAGGATAATACCATTACGTAACTACTACGCATTTCCTACCATACATCTATGAACACATACATAAATACACATATAAAAACAAAAACAAAAATTAATTTTTTCCGCGCAGCACTTACCCGGGATTCATTGTTATGAATATGGAACATGTGGGATCCAAGCGTAGCAGAGTGTCTTCAAAAAAGAATTTCACCACCTTGCGGCCAATAGCGCGCTGGATGGTTAGAATTTGCTGCGCCACCACCGATAGCACCTCCAATTCGATACGATTGAACTCATCGAAACAGGCCCAGGCGCCAGATTGTGCTAAGCCCTAAAAAAGAAATGCGAAAAATTCAAAAACAAAAACAAGGCAGAAAATACATTCAAAAGCAGTCAAGTCAAAGGAAGGATGCTAAAAAATACATAACAATTGCAAGAAAATATGTATGGGAGTATGTTTTTGAATGTGTGTATAGTGTGAGTGTAGAGTATTCGCAAAAGGGAATGAAAGAAGCGGATAAAGGTACTAAGAAAAACGGTTTTCAATATTGAGACGTACTCGTATTGGATTTAGTGAAAGAGTTCAGCAGGAACGCATATGCGCTCATGCATTCGCACACGCATACATGCATATGTATGCGGATTTGTACACATATTTGGGTAAACACGGCATATGCAAATGCACTTGTAGCAAATTGAAAGCTTCGCAGACAGCCTGAGGCAAAATAAACAAGCGTGTGCCTAGGCCGACAAACAATGCTTTACATTTACCGCAAAAAATACACAGAAATACATACATACATACTTAAATGTAAGAGCATATGTAACTGACAGTTTAAAAAAGAAATATTCAACCAATAACTGTGCATATGCAATCCAACTTTAACAACAACTTGCATATATTTCACTTGAAAAAGCTTTCTTAACGATTTTTCAATAAGGAGATAACTGCAATTTAAATTATTTATAATAATTTTGTATGGCAAGTTTCTTCATATATTTCTCGAGTTCGTCAATCCATTTGATCGCGATCTTCCCCCGGCTTGAGTGGTGACTAATTTTCTTCTGTGCTATTTTGTTGCATGCTCGAGTAATCTTAGTCGCTGCGCTTAGATAAAGTGTATGACATATTCACCTTTTATAAGCTGGCCCAGGTCATCGTTCCACCTTAAAAGCCATCCGCCATTATCTTTTACTCTGTGCTGCGTATATATTTTGTTAAATTTACATCTCTAATAACTAAGAGACTTGCCATCTTCCGCTATTTCTATTAGCATACAAATACTTTTTTTTTTCGTAAGACCAAATATTGCGTTTTTAATGAAGTGACTTGAGTTTGTTGAATACTATTGTGATTGTTTTAATGATTTAGTGTTCTTAGTGATATTTATTTTTAAAATTATACAATGTTATTTTTTTTTCAAAACCACTAAAAAGTCAAATATAATAACTTAAATTATGTGTTATAGTAGACTACGAATATAAAGAAAATTTCACGAAGTTTTGTTTCATAAAAATTTAGCTTAATAAAATAATCGAAAACAGTAATTGTGTGTATTATTTCTTGCTGTTGGTCTCGGTCTTTAAAATACTCTCCTCATAGACTTCACCCTGCCTCTTCTGCTTGTTTCCTTCCTTCACTTTTAAACACACATTTTCCGTTATATTTTCGCTCTCTCCATTGTCTTTGCCATAACAATTGCAATTCAGTCAATTTTTTATGCTCATAGCTTCCTCAACTGAACTGTGCTCTGCACTCCCCCTTATCTACTGCTGCCTGTTCTATCGGCAGCAAAAGAACGGTATTCAATGCTGTCTGCCGTTTAAGGTTGGCCATATTCAATTCCGTTGCGTTAAATTTGTTACTCGTTTCTTTTATTGTCATTGACTATTGTTGTTGTTACAATTTTGGTCAAAAACGGGCACCTTTCCTCTGCGCTGTTCTTTTACATATTGTTTAGAAGAATACCAGCATTTGATTAGACATCACTATGTATGTGTGCCTGTGTTTGCTTGGCTGTTTATTGACCTCTTTGTTTTTCTATCGTTTTGCCAGCATTTTGTGTGTTCTTACTTCTGCTACATTTGAACTTTTATCAGAAGTTATATCAGCAGTTTTGTTTACTTTTAATTTGTTGCAGCATTTAGTGTAAAAATGATTTTTCGGGTTTGTTTTCAAAGTTAAGTGCAATAGCTTACAATTTTTACCGTATTTACACACGGTCATTGCCCTTTATGTGTTTATGTGAGGTTAATTGCTTGTTACAAATTTGGTTATAGTGTGTTGTTCAGGTTTAATAATTTCAACTTCAATAAAAGAAATGGATTTTTCCAACACGAGAGGAAAAATCATTCAAAATTAATTGAGTTTTTCTTTCAGAAACTATTATCATGGAGTTATGGCAATATAAAGATCTAAGCAATCTGGGCTGGTGCAATAGTCAGTACTCGAGTAATACTTTGCTGGCCTAGAATAAACTAAGTTGGACCCTCAATAAGTGTTTCATAATAGCACCGCAATGAGAGAATCATAGAATTTTCATATTAATTTGAGGGTCTTGATATCACATAAATCATATATTTTAGAAAGAAATTTATTGTATGGCTTTATAAATAATTTTCTACCACTCAATGAATAAGTTTATAAACTAATGAAGTTTAAAAATGCGATGCTGCTGCCTTACTACAGTGAGACTCTTAAAAATTACCAAAACAACGAAAAAAAATATTGGTAAAAAGGGTGCTTTTTTTTAAATAATTCCAAAATTAAAATGCCAAAGATATACTCTAGAAACTGGCAGGCTTCTAAGTATCTAAACCTCAAACTGTCTGTTAGACCTGAAGACATTATTGGTCTCAAATTGTTTAGATCAGATTGTTATATCATATAGCTAGCATGCAAACTGGACTGTTTAAAGCAATGTTAAATCTCTGAAAAAAGTGTTCTGATCGAGCCACCATAGCGTATAACTGCCATACAAACTGAACGATCAAGTAATTGTAAAATTCACAAAAAATTAAAAGGGTAAATTTAATAGCAGAATTATACTAAAGTTACATTCATCTTAAATAATGTGTACAAATCAAGATTTCTGTTAAACTTAGATTGTTTAATATTATGCAGTGATTATTAATTTTCTTAAACTAATCAAATATGCGTTACCGAGTTTGTATTACCTTATAAATTTTATAAAATTTGAATAAACCAGCATTTAAATATAATTAATTAACTTAAAAACGTAATTAATTAGAGCACACTTTCGAAACTAATATTTCAAACGAAGCACTCCGCCACAATTTCAGATTTCACGAAATCAAGAATCGCACAACATATGTAAGAGTACATCCATACATTTATTTATAGCACTGACGCGTGCGCGTATCAAATTAAGCATATTCAATTATTCAGTTAGCTAACTATCTATCTTTCTATTTACTATTAGCGATTTTAATGTACCGATCCACTAGTTGTACGCCGCGCATGGTCCCTCTTTTTGAAATTTGGTTCACACAATAAACGCGCTCCCTTTACTTCAAATATAAATATATATATAGGTGTGTATGTGGCCAACAAGGTTGGAAAGTGGAATTGTATTGCCATAATTTTCCAGTATTTGGACTTGAGCACATCCAGAAGTATGAATAATTTACCTTGAACTTCATTAACCCGACGCTCAGCCGTCCAGGTGCGAATATTTTATGTAGGCAAACTTCTTGATTGAGAGTTAATTATTCAAATTTCTTTAAACATCTTTGTAGTAGCGCTATACCCAGTTAAAGAATATCATTAATTTCTGGGCTATCACCACACGTGCAGCCGGCGACCCACCTAAAGAGCCAGCCAATGTGGCGGCCGCCAACTGCTCTGCGGTTGGGGCGCGTGTAACTCACACGTCTACACAACACGTGCAGGCGGTGCCGCCACTGTGGTTCAACGAAGACTCCCACTTTCTAAAGTAGCACGCTTACCAATAAATTGCGGTGTCTACAGATACTCGTTTGAAGCCAGGCGCGTAGTGGGAACAGTGGGAACCTCTGATATTCAGTCATTTGATTTATCACATCCACTTTTTTTCTTTATTTGGTTAATGACCTATTCATGAAAGAAGGCGAAGCGGCGAAACGGCAGCGGCAACGCCAACGACAGAGGTAGCGCAACAGATGGTGCCATAAACCAAATACGGCGAAGAGAAATGCTTCGTGTGTTACCTGTTAAGCGAGAAGTGTTTCAAGACACCGAGGCGTTCGAGTGGCACCAGAGTGTCTCTTGAATTTAGACTGTGGCTATAAATAAAGCGTTAGTGATTGGGCGGTTGGCGCGTTTAGTGGAGCACTTAAAGCGAAGTTAATTTATCTTGCCGACCAAATTGGTTATCAATTAAAACAAGTTGTGACCAGCTAAGGTGAGCGATTTAGCCCTAAACGCATAGCCATCGCAAATACAATGTTTTAATAGCTTTTTCGTATTCTTTGTCAGTGAATGTGAATGTTGGGGCAATGCTTACTCGTCTACGCAAAAAAAAGAAATAATACAAAACACAATTGGATTAAATGAATGCGGAATACATTATGCGCCAGTTGCGAAGATCAACCAAAAATAGAACCATAGTAATATCGGCACTCTATTCACCGCCGATTGTTCGAAGATTTCTATTGTGTTTATTTTTGTTTTTCTCTTTTTGTATATTTTTGCGAACAGTTCATAGCATAGCATACTTAGTTGATGGTAGCGCCAAAGTGATGAGTTTTCTCAAAGCTATGTCGTAGCGATTTTCGTATAAATAAATTCGGTGAAGGTCCAAGAACATCATTCTCGCAAATTAACTCATTCGCAACGGTCTTAGCTAGCTAAAGAGTTACTGGCAACAAAATGAAATTATTCGTCGCATTATTTGCCGTTATCGCGGTCGTGGCCGCTGTTGAAGTGCCAGCAATGACTACTTGCCGCCAGCCGAAGCCGTCGCATTTGAACAAGTCGCTGTGGAGCCCCAGGAAGCCGCCGTCCTTGCTGATGATGGATACCGTTACAAAACTGTCCGCCGCTTGAATACCGTCACCGTCGTGATGTTAGCGAATTGCCTTCCAACGAGTACTTGCCTCCAGCTGCCAGCGCTCCGTAGCTGTTGCCGAACAACAAGTTTTGTGCAGCCACAAGAATCTGCCGTTTAGCTGATGATGGTTACCGTTACAAGACCGTCCGACGCTTGAAATATCGTCACCGTCGTGATGTCAGCGAAGTGCCTTCCAACGAGTACTTGCCTCCAGCTGCCAGCGCTCCTGTAGCCGTAGCTGAGCAACAAGTCTTTGTTGAGCCCCAAGAATCCGCCGTTTGGCTGATGATGGTTACCGTTACAAGACCGTTCGTCGTTTGAAATACCGTCACCGTCGTGATGTCAACGAATTGCCTTCCAACGAATATTTGCCTCCAGCTGCCAGTGCTCCAGTAGCCGTAGCTGAGCAACAAGTCTTTGTTGAGCCCCAAGAATCCGCCGTTTTGGCTGATGATGGTTACCGTTACAAGACCGTTCGTCGTTTGAAATACCGTCACCGTCGTGATGTCAACGATTGCCTTCCAACGAATATTTGCCCCCGTCGCTGTTGCCCAAGAACAAGTTGTTATTGAAGCTCCACAAGAATCCGCCGTTTTGGCTGATGATGGTTACCGTTACAAGGCCGTTCGCCGCTTGAAATACCGTCACCGTCGTGATGTCAACGAACTCCCATCCAACGAATACTTGCCCCCAGCTCCCAGCGCACCCGTCGCTGGTGTTGCACCACAAATTATTGATGTACCACAAGAGTCCGCCGTCTTGGCTGATGATGGTTACCGTTACAAGACCGTCCGTCGTCGTAAATACCGTCACCGCCGTGATGTTAGTGAATTGCCTTCCAACGAGTACTTGCCTCCAGCTGCCAGCGCTCCCGTAGCTGTTGCCGAACAGCAAGTTTTTGTGCAGCCACAAGAATCCGCCGTTTTTGCTGATGATGGTTACCGTTACAAAACCGTTCGTCGCTTGAAATATCGTCACCGTCGTGATGTTAGCGAATTGCCTTCCAACGAGTACTTGCCTCCAGCTGCCAGCGCTCCCGTAGCTGTTGCCGAACAACAAGTTTTTGTGCAGCCACAAGAATCCGCCGTTTTTGCTGATGATGGTTACCGTTACAAAACCGTTCGTCGCTGAAATATCGTCACCGTCGTGATGTTAGCGAATTGCCTTCCAACGAGTACTTGCCTCCAGCTGCCAGCGCTCCCGTAGCTGTTGCCGAACAACAAGTTTTTGTGCAGCCACAAGAATCCGCCGTTTTGGCCGATGATGGTTACCGTTACAAGACTCAGCGTCGTCTAAAATACCGCACGCGTCGCGTTTAAGCCAACATTTTGCCCGAATACTAGCTCCCTAAATGTATAGTACAAGTTAAGAACCCATGTCATTGACTACCTCAGCGAATTTTTAAGCAGCAAATAAAGAACACATATTTGTTTATAAAAAATTTTGTGTTAAGGTTGTTTTTTTGTTCTTTGCTATGTGCTTATTGTCACTATGTTTTTCTGGTTACTTACCTTGAAAAATTTGCCCAATGCTTTGTAATCCAAGCCATCCGAGCAGTTAAATACTACACATTTTTTCGCCACAGCCTTCGCCAAGTCTTTGCACGTCTCCGTTTTGCCTGTACCTGCCGGTCCTTCTGGTGCGCCACCTAAGCACAATTTTAATGCGCCCATCAACGTTCTGCGGAAGAAATGTCGAGTCAGCGATTGTAGTATTATTTGAGGGAATTTAAATTATATGAGAGAGGGTGGAGTAACATCCATTGGTTTGGCAACAACAGTTTGTTCTGTTGTTGAAAAAATTCGAAATACTCGGCATGATGACCAATTGGTTTTTCCAACCGGAATATCCACTTAAGGTTCATGGTTACTTATAGCAACTACTTTTTTTGGTTTTGTCCACATGCATGGACGTATATGAGTATGTTTGTTTTTACTGTCAAATAATGATTTATTTGGTTCAATATAAAAAAACGTTATCTGTAGAGCCATTAAAAATGGTTATGGATTTCGTTGTGAAGGGTATTTGTAAGTGACTAAGTGTTATCATTAATTTTAGGATTTATTGTTTATGCCATATTATATACCCAAAGAAATTGTAAGTTATGATCTTGAGCTTTCCTAAGAATAAGAATGGCTTCTGTTGACAATAAACATTTCAAAAGCATAATAGCGCTCTTCAAGTACTCCTACAAATTGATAGCAAGGTTTTCGAAAACAAAATCTTCCAATTATCAATATTAATACGCTTGGCTTATCACTCCACATCATCGTTATGCAAAGTCACAGTCAATGAACCGCAAAAGCGCAGTGCTCTGTATTTGCTTCAATAGCTTCAATTTCATACTTTTCTAAGGTACCTGCGATCTACATTGGCCGAGCCTACCTACAACCTTACTTGCTTTTATATTAGACAGGCATCTCTTTTGGCACTAAAACAAAAGGTTATGAATTCGCCGAAAACATGATGTTAGGAATTCTTTTAACTACTTCAAAATAATTTCTATATTTTTCGAATGGCCTTTTTTACCTGATAACTCCCACTAGAAGGTAGCCCGTCGTTTCCTTAACAGACGCTTACAATAAGCCGAAATAGCCGAGTAAGCTAAGCTTACAATGAGAGAGAGAGAGTAACACATAGCTATCAACTTGCCCACATTTTCCTCATCTGACTAATTGTTATTTCATGAAAGGAAATCGCCCGAGTCCCAATTCATTCAAATTACCTGTAGCAGCGATCAGTAAGCGGCGTAACGACCAAACGTGGATTGTTGCCCAAATATTCCATGCCATATTTAACATCTGTAACGACCATGCTAACGCAGACCCACTCCTCACCCTCTGCAAAGAAGTGTGTTCAATTTAATCTCACGATAATTTTTTAATATATTTACTATCAGTTTCACGCCAATAGTAACGCAATTGAGAGATCCAGTCGAATTCGGTGATATTTTCCACATTCACATCTATCAAATACTTGACAACGTCACGTGCTACAATTGAAGAATTGAAAACGTCACTATATAATTTGCTTGGTGATTGCAAATTTCTACTTTTATTAACTTACCATGCACGTCCAGCACAATCAAAGCTTCGATAGTGAGTCGTGTACCTGTTGCCAGTTCAGTTCGCACCAACTGTACCAGCTCGCTGATTTGCGAGTTGCATTTCTCTAAATATGCCGGAACTGCGTTTTGGCTGAAAGCTTCCTCAACCTAACAGAGAAAGTGCGAGGAAATTGAGTAATCCAAAAATTGAAAATTGAGAATCCGATCTAATAACAAATTAAAATTAGTAAAACTGTAAAAAAATTACTAAACTGTTAAAATTAAGATATAATCCTAGAACGACCATAAAAGCAAGTCCAACTGAAATACATTATTGATGATATTGCAAGGATCAACTACTGTTTCGAGAAACTTCCGAACATTTACAGGGAAAACAAATATTTTCAACTCCTTAAATAAGAAGCGCAGTAATCGCTTTGAGCTCAGTTTTTATGTAAGCATAAATGTAGAAGCTATAGAGATAACTTACCTCGAAAGTCCAAGCCATACAGGAAATACTCTGAACTACTTGTCCTGGCCATGATGTTACCCAAATTATGCGATCAACTAGGAAGTAATCTTCCCAAGCTAACTTCATCTGCTCCAACACGCTTGCCAGCATAACATTTTCAACTTCTTTTAGCCAGATTTCCACTAAACCCTAGAAAAAATAGTTCTACATATATTAAATTGATAATTGTACCTTTAACCGAGGTAAAAAATATTATTTTGATGACGTCAGACTAGCGAAAGATTTCAAAATAATATAATATATATTTTTGCAAGATTGTTAGAGCATTCGCTAGTTTTTTTTAAATCTTATAAGACGTCATGTAAAATTTGGAGAACCGATTTTGAATATTATTCTTTCGTTTTAACATCTACAAGCAGCACTATACTCACATTCGCCAATGCTGGATTGATCTTACGCACCAATAACACTTGCTCATCTTCATCCGATATCATTTCCGTTATCTCCATGGAGTCATCGAAGGTGAGGCGCGCAATCTATAAAATTAAAGCTTTATACCTCCGAACAAGCTCCACCAGCTATAAGCACTTACACCTTCGAAACACTTTCGTAAATGCGGCTGCACACGTAGCGGGTCTTTGGTTTCAGAAAGAATCTCCAATAATTCATCATTAGACAAGAAGAAGAAACGCGCAAAGAACAAACGCTTTTGCTCGAGATATGTATTCAGTCCTTTTTGTACTGTTTCAAGATCTGCGACGGCCTTCAAGAACGTCTCCAGCATATTCGGATACTCAGTGGTTACGAGTACATTCAAGTTTTGGCAGGTATGTTTCATGATTTTACGCCAAGTTTTATCGACCTACAAGCACAAATTTTGCATTAAAAATTGAAGAAACTTATGAAGTGATTTGATTACCGATTTGAAATTGCGTCCCTCTACCGGCATTTGTCGCATAATGTCCTCAGAGCTAAAGATTGGCTCTAAATACATCCAGGTAACCTGGACTTGCGTCCAAGCATCGATAATATTTTGTATCAGCAGAAGTTTAGCCTCCCAGTCATCCGCCTTAGAGCCCAAGGCGACAATAAATGGTGAACGTTTCATCGCCTGCGTACGCATAATATGATCGTCCAGTAGTGTTTGTATATCGTCTAGCGCGGATAGTATATGCGTATCTGAGTCTCGATATTGTAGTACTTCAAAAGCGACTTCTTTCCAATCTGCTTGCATGGCATCAAGCGCTGAATTCAATTCGAATTCTTTGCCAGCCGCATTAGATATCTCCTCCAATTGTTGCAATATGCTCATTATATTCGCATCGATCATATCTTTGAGTGTGGGATATAGTTGCGGATTGCACTCGGCGCCCAAATGTTCCGATATTTGTTTCCAATGACGTTCTGTTAGACCTTGCCGACAGATGGCATCGAGTACCGGTAGATATGCACGGAACTTTTCCACCTTAATACGCATCTGTTCGGCGGCACGACGAGCGGTCGGATTGTTGGCCAACTGACGGGACAGTTTGTAGACGATCTAGAGTGAGAGTAAAGCGTGAATTATATGATTTTTAAATATGACGAATGAAACAGGATTAATTAATATTTTAGGTTAGTTATGAATTTGTAGTACGACTAATTTTTTATACTTACGCGATGCATATTCTCAACCTCCTCTCGTATGGCATCCGCATCGAGGCATTGGAATTCTCCATACATCCTTAAGTAAGAATTTGCAATTAAGAAAATATACCCCAATAGTTTTATTGTAATTCTTTTCAGAAACATTTACCAAATTTGATAATCCTTTTCGAATTCGTAAGCTGTCTTCCATAACTTTTCGATTGGTTCCATTTTTTCAATGATTTCGGCAAGCACCGGGAACGGCGATATATCTATTTGTAATAGCTGCTCTTCCACATTTATGGCTCTGGCTTCACGACTCATGCTCTGTAAAGTAAAAAAAAAAGTAAAACAAAACAGTCCAGATTTTTTGTATTAGAGCAGGTACTGTGTACAGGTAGTGTAAATGAATTTTTAGAACGAACTGTAGCACATCAAATTCTATATGCCACGATTTCGAAACGTTTAATACTGATTCAAGTAAATACTAAACTGCTATCAAAATGAGACCGAAAGACTATTAAACTAGTCGGAGAGTCGGTTTATTTTCAATTATTTTTAGGCATATAAGTTTGGTTTAGAGCTCTTGGTATGCGTTATTCGAATAATTATATTCGGTTGGCACTATTCGATTAACTACTCATTTTCGATTGTTCGGTTAACCGTTCGTTATCCACTATTCGAATAGTAAGCGTTCATTCAAAAAACAAAAAGTAATAAATTATTATAATATCAATTTCCAACTAACTATTCGAATAGTCGCAGTTGAACGACCAGTCGTTCTCCAGCTATTTTATATGAGCAACTTTCCTTTATTTTTTTATTTCGAATATTTAAGGACAATAACTTAAAGCTCACTAAAGTATCATGACTTGAAAGAAGTTTAAATTAACAACACGACAGTACAATGTAGCACAACTTACCTCAATTATTTCGTAGAGTTCGTCAATGGTATCGACACGTTCCTTGAGCTCTTCGAGTGACATAACTTCGCGCGTTTCCTTCACACGAAAACCATCCATGCGACGTTTCTCATACAGAATGAACTCTTCGAACTTTTTGCGGCGCTCACTGCCAATATGTGTATGTATGTACATAGGAAATTATAAGCGTGGAAAAGAAAAGCGAGTGTTAACACTTTTGCTAATAGACACTTTCTGCACACAACACAATACGAACTCTCGCTAATGAAATGGATTTCCAGCATTTATACGAACATGTGTGTGTGTATCGATAGTTGCATGTACAAGTATTTATGTGTGTAAAAGCGTACGGTTGGTGGAAATCTTTAATTAGCAGAGTTGCATTTGTGCCTTATACGTTTGTTTATGTGTGTATATGTGTTTGGCTTTGTATTTGCTTGTGTTAAGGTGTTAAGGTAAGAAATTAAAACGCACCGCAACGCCATCTCCAAGTTCTCGCGCACCACATTCAAACGTGCCGCGCTCAAATCCAATACTTCCTCCAGTTCGCCGGGCAAAGTGAAGGTGCGCGAATTGAGATGGATGTGATCACCTGTTGAATAGTTTAGACTTTGTTTGTATACCATTTGCAACTGTAAAGTCAGAAAGCTCTCAGGATACATATAAATATTGTCAATAGCTTTGAAGAGCAGCCAAAACTTTGTTATCGATGCTCGGCAAGCTAATTAATTAGAACTCGAAGGCATGTTTCGCAAAAACACGGTACTTTAGTCGATATAATCATATCACTTTTAAAGTGTGCACATGCACCGTTAGCTCATATGCACTTAACATTAAAAAACATCTATAATGACTGCAGAAACGCTCAACCCCATCAACTGCTAGTGTCAACTTCGTAATCACTAACTAAATTAAACTTTTATAATTTGCTTTTAGTATCGAGTGCCACGGGCCAGCCTTTGTAACCGAAGGATATCAATGTGTTGTGAACAACTTTGTACAACTTCAATGGAAAAAGAAGTTAAAGTTGGTGCAAACTTTTTATGCAGTGCTTGCACATATAAAGTTGATGGTTTAAGCTTATTTAGAAAACTATTTATGTATGTGTACCATATACAGATGTATATGGTGTGCATATACAACCAGTTTACGACTATACATAAGGGTAACTCAAAAAATTTCGGATTCTAATTTTACAAGCTCTTTACAATTCTCAACATTAGAACCCTATAGTTAACTAGAAGCTTCAGCCTTAGTCTCGTGAGAGTGGAATGGTGAAAAATGTAGTCTGAAATGACCTTAGCCCAATATCTTTAAGTCAACCAATACTAACTGCTGCATTTAGAAATGAAAGATCTACTACTTGACAGCTACCTCTAACCCTAGTATGCAATTGCAGCTTATATCTAGATTTATTTAAAAAAGATCTTTTCACAAATTTTCTAACAGAGTTTGGAATCATTCATGCATAACCAACTGCCCATCTTCTCTAACAGATCCCTTCGGTTCACATATATTTGTAATAGTTGGCCTCGCGACGCAGGGAGCTGATTAATAAGATATAGGAGAGCTGCAAAGATCTTCCGGCATTAAGGACTACAGTCACCCAATAACACCTGTGTCTCAAACCCTAAACAAAAGTCAAAAAATAATTTTCACTCATATTATAATCAATTGAGCGCGTTGCCATCAATTGAAGCGATAAAATTTAAAGATTAAAAGTTTTATAGTACCACCCTAATGGGCATACACACACACTATGCCATTGCACTTACTATCCAATATTGTATGTGTTAGAAGGAAAATCACACGACGCGACACTATTTTGATTTCATCTTTTATTGCAAATATTTTCTCATCACGACACTCGCTTAAGTAGTTTTGCAAGGCGACCACTTCTGGTGTCTCTTCGGGGCGCTCGCCAGCCTTCATTGACATTTCCTCCAGAGCATCGCAAATACTACAACAAAGAAGGTAAAATAAGTACTTTTTTCCATTGCATTCAGGTGGGTAAAGCGGCAAGTAATTTCAATGTAATGCATACACCTTTTACATATATCTATGTAATTATATGTAATCCTTGTAACTACTCTTCGTAATTAGCATTTCCCACTTACGCTCGATTCTCATTTATATTAACTGCCTTGTAATAGTCTATTATGAAATCGTAAACTTGCTGCACCAGCATTACGATGGCATTCTTCACATGCCGATTGTCCACCATGAATAGATTTAGCGGTATGAAGTCGCGCAATATGTATGTGCTGTGTATGATGCCCATCAAACGTTTCATTAAGTCTTCAACTAGCTGTGTGGAAGAGAGAGATGTTATTAAAAAATTAATAATGATTAAAGGGGATTTTAAAGAAATGCTTTCTTAGATTTGAAGAAATCTCTGAGAAATGATTTTTTCTACGAGCAGATTTTAAATTAATGAAGCCACAAAAAATTTTATATAATATAACGGTTTAATGTAAAAAAACGTATAAAGTGAAAATATTTCAACCATCTGAACGGAAGCCGGCACCTTCCTAGCAGCGTTCTATTTTCCCACCATCTCCTTATAGATCTATTGCAGGGAATCTTACACCAAATAATTACCTGCTCTTTTTTATTTTAATTTTATTTATTTTTATACCCTGAACAGAGTATATTAAGTTTGCCACGAAGTTTTGAACACCGAAAAGGAAACGTTACAAACCCTACAAGGTACTCGTATATATATAATTGATCAGCTTGACAAGCTGAGTCGAATAAGCCAAATATGCTTGTGTATATGCAAACTAGTCCCTCAGTTTTTGAGATATCGACCAGAAATTTTGCGCACGTCCTTTTCTCCCCAAGACGCTGTTCGTCGTGTCAGAACCGCCGATATTGGACCACTATAGAATATAGCTCTTATAGCAAGTGAAGGATAGGAGTTTAGCGGCTGTATAAAAATTTGTCATTTGACGAGATATCTTCAAGAAATTCGCCATGGATTATTGCAATATCCGAAAAAATTGTTTAGATCGGACCACTATAATATATAGCTGTCATACAAACTGACCGATCAAAATAAAGATAAAGATATTTTTATATTCCTTTATGCTATAAAAAATGCACCTGTGGAGACTATTCTAGCTTCGGTGCAACCGAATTTAACGTTTTTTGTTTTTATTTATATTAAAACATGGCACACACATATTTGCCATACATAATCAACTTGTTATTTTTCAGTGAGCAAATTTGCTTACAAGGACGTCGTGTACCAAATTGAAATATTAACCATTATTTTTTTACACGCTGCGCTACAGTAACTAAATATTTTCATACTCGTATTCATTACATAGACATTTATCCAGCGTTTATTCGGCGATTTATACCACTGACGATGTTATTGTAACCTTCTTTTTTTGAGAAAAGAAATTAATAAAGAAGTTGAAAAAAAAGATTATTTTTTGTTAAAAACGGAATGGAATTGAAACGTACAAAGTTGATTGTTTTGTTTCTTTTTTTTTGAAACTGAGGAGATTACAGCTCAATAAACTATCTCTGACTAGGATATCGCTGATTTTGTTCTATGAAAATGATTGATCAAGCCGTGATTAAAACACATAGAGATCAAGATTGAACGCTTGATTGAATTTATTTATACCTTAGTATCTGATTAAATATGACTTGGGCTGAAACCAAAATACATTTTCACTGATTTTACGACCTTAACGGAATACTTTGTGTCACTGAAAAACTTGTGTTCATGATTAAGTAGATTCTCCAAAATACTTTCGCAACATTTTCATTGATTCCGTAGCCGTGATTCCATTGGAATCCCAAAAATTCAAGCAAGCTTTTCGCGTCGTAAAATTCAGCAGCCAAACAAAATACAATTCGACATATGGAGAACCAACTTCACACGAACATAAAAAAAGGTATGTACCAATTCTGAAAAAAAATTATACCGATTCGATTTACGCGCTCCGTTAAAATGGACCAGTCCGGGTCAAATTTGATCGGTGAATAATATATCGCTAATATGTTTATTTTTCTTCAAACTGTGTCTACTTGAAATCTTCTAAATAAAAGCTGCCATCAGCAAAGTTATTCAGTCGTATTCAACACAATGTGGTATGAGCGCTTGCTTTTCTCTCACTGTTTGCTTATGCCAATATAAGTCTTTCAAAGTAGTTGTTTGTTCGATTCTCTACTCGCTAATTTTCAAAGATTCGCGAATGGTATAAATTCACCAGTGGAATTTAATCGTGTGTTAAGAAAAAATATTGTGCAATAATCGACTCTTAAATCAATCATATAATTTTTAGAGCCTTCAAATACAATCGAAAGTCTAACGTCCTTACTTTGGCGCGCGTGTGTGTGCACAAACAAATGTGTTGTTGTTGCAACGCGTCAACCAATTACCAACGAAGAGCCATACACGCTGATGAGTCTCAAAGTGTTAGGTAGTGCGTCATAATAAAATTTAATTTTAATCCTACGCATCAATGAATTTAATCAAATAAAAGTATAATAATTAATTTAGTTTTCCTGCAGCGAAATTCAGTGGAGTTTGCCGTACAAAATTGCACACCGTCTATATACTACATACATACATAAACATGTGTGTATTTGTGAGCGAGCGCATGTTGCAGCAGTGCAGCATTGCGTTCGCGTGGTTAACATGCATATTTGTTTGTATGTACATAGAGATATTTGCAACATATGAGCTGGATGCTGAATAATTTTTTTTTTTTTTGTTATATATTTTATTTTGCTTTATTTCCCCAAATATGAATACATAATGAGCTCATCACAGTCATTGTCAATATGTTCATCAGTAAAAAGTTTATAAGCGCTATCATTATCATCAATATTGTTATCTTTTTGAAAATCTCATTATGCATCAATTTATAGAAATTGGCAGTGTCAGTTTGCAGTGAAAATGGAAAAAAAAAATTAAAATAATAATGTTCAAATAATACAAAATATGCTGAAATTTGATAATTTAATGTTCAATATTCTGATGAAAATGTAATTAATGTCAGTCATTTCCGTTCAATGTTGATGATTTAACATGAAACTTAAATCGGTTGTTCCGCCGCAAACCCCTATTGAGATTCACATAACGGTTTGATTGTATGAGTGCTAATTAACGTTCTTTGAGCTATTTAAGCGAGTCAAAGGTTGAGCTGTGCAAAGCTTGTAGACATTTATGTAACAGGTAGCTTTAAATTAATGCACAACTTTTAAATATTTTATAATTATTATTATTTCATTATAAGTACAGTTATTGAGCATAATTACTTTAGCAGTTTGTTACTTAATTAAAAATTAATTGGAGTAAATAGCTTCTATACGGTAGACACATAATGAGAAGAATACTGAAATACGGTTTAAAGATATTTCGGCGATGCCTCAGAATATGTTGAGGTAGTTAAAAAGATTCGATTACATATAAAGAAAAAAACCTGATGTTTGACGAAACCATTAGCAGAAATTTAGCTTGAGTTCACATTAAGAACACAAATTTATCATTTAGAACATTCATCATTTAAATATAAAAAAAAAGATCTGAAGAATATGTTCGGAGATTGTAAAATATATAAATGTATAAAATGGACTTCAATACAAGAACTTAAGTTTGCCCAGTCAGTTTGTATGGCATCTATATGCTATATTGAACCGATATCGGAAATTCCGTTAAATAATAAGTATCTTTGAGAGAAAAGGACGTGTACAAAATTGCAGATCAATATCTCAAAAACTTTGGGACTAGTTTACATATATACAGACGGACATGGCTAAATCGACTATGCTCGCCACGTTAATTATTTCTATGCCATATAAGGCCACCGACGCTTCCTTGTGGGTGTTAAAAACATCGTAAAAACTTAATATACCCTGTTCAACATGTATGGATGACGCTGATATCCTTGCGGTAATGATTTTGTAAACAATTGTGTGAATTTTCTTATGTCTATTTTAATCACATTAAGTTTTTAAGGGTAATAATCAAGATCCAAATATTAACAATTAAATTCATATACTTCAAATTCGCAAAAAAGCGTAAAAAGCTCAGTATCAAAAAAAGAAACAAAAAACCAAAACTCAAGGAAGTAAAAACTTACCACCAATTCAGGAACGATATTTTGTGTAAACAACTTCTCGACAATCGGCAACATTTTATTCGTGAATAGTGCAGAATAGTATTTGAAAATCGGATACAAATAAACGCGCAGACCACTCCAGTTGTTCTCGACAATTCTCTGCACATTTTTATACAAACGCTTCATATCACAATGCGACTCATTTACCACATGCAAATAACCGAGGGTACTTTCATCTACGCAAAGTGAAATATAAATTATATACACAAATGTTAAGTGTTTAACTGAAGTAAAATCTAAATCAATGTCATAAATAAGCGAGTCAACGGCGAACTTTAACTTGAGATATTCTTGAATTTGTGGTCAAATAGTACGATGAAGCTTTGCAAAAAAAAAAATATATTCTTACCTCTCGACATAAAGTATTCCAAACGTGGTATTTGATAGCCAACACGTAATATTTTCTTAAATATGTGAGTAAATAATTCGGGCAGCTCACTTATGTATGGAAAGCCAAAAAATTTTCCTTCATTTTTCATTACGAATTCGCAAGTTGGGTCAAGTTCTGGTTGAATCTGAGAAACAAAAGCAATAACAAAACAATATTTATGCAAATTACGTAGCAAATAATTACTAACCATTTCGAATGTAATACTTGGACGTCTGTAAAATGGACTGGCGTCGTCCTCCTCATCGTATTTATAGATCGGTGTTGTGTCATCACGATCATCGGTGCGATTATCAAAATGCGCACCGACTACGGAGAAAATCAGCGTCATCAGTGGACGACGTCTTAGTTTCTTATCGTACATTTGATAGCGTTCGATGTCGTTGCCCTCCTGAAAAATTAAAAAAATTGTGATAAAACCTAGTTTCTCGAAAAACAACAAGCAACTAACTTCATATCTCGTTAAGTTGGTGTAGAGCACAGAAATACTACGCGTTATAAGGCCCTCCAAGTGATGCGACATGAGAGCATGGACACAATTAAATAGAACGGCAGCGCGTCCACCATATCGCTGATTCATTGGTACCAAGTCCTTCCAGGTACGACGCATAACATCCACCAAATCGGCACAACGTGGCAGCCAGTCATTCAACAGCAACTAAATTAGGTGATATTTCAAAAATTTCTTGCATTTTTAATGCAAGTTAATCAATTTTATACTCACATCACGTATAACCTCACAACTCTCGTCGACAAAACTTATAATTTCATCGGCTGTCATGGGTTGATCGCGCAAAAAGATCTTCGAAACATCAATGACTACCAAATCGTTGTATCTGTTGGAAAAAATATTGTTTACTCGGATGAAATATATATTGTTAAATACTGAGAAGTAATATAAAAAAATGTAGGCGATGATATTTGGGAATCGTCAGAAAAATGCCTTCAATCATTTTAACTCTCTTTTACTGACAAGACTGGTTTCAACAAGACGGAGCCACATGCCATACAGCCAAGGAAACAATTAATTTTATTGAAGGAAACTTTTGTCAGTTACGCCCCAGACGATTAACGCCTTGGAAGAGTTATTGCAGACATACGGCCCCGATTGCTGCATAAAGTGGTCGAATATTGGGTCTCTCAGCTAGAATTTATTCGAGCCTGCCGCGGTGGTTATCTGCCCGAAATCATTTTTAAAACATAATGGCAACCAATTATCTTTCAATTCAGTGGTTATTAGTTTCAACCAAACTAAGCGCCATATACCAAAGACTGTGACATCAGCCACCAACTTTTTCTTTAAACCACACACTTTGTTATTACAAGTATGAGCATATCACTAACAATAGTTCTATCTTGCTAATATTTTCATTTAAAATACAGACTCTCCTCACTTTACTTTAATTACAGTCTCTAATTATACTCACAACTGATGCCACAGCTGATTGAGTGCCCTTATAATGGGATGTGTTACCATTAAAAGTTGGTCTAGACGATTACGTGCTAACTGTACATTCACTTTATATGGCACTGGACCACGTATGATTAGCTGTGGAAAATCCGGTGGCTCCATTTCCAACTGCAGTCGTTTGCGTTCCAAAGGCGATCTATAAAAGAAACACAAAAAAAGTAAGAATCGAATTAAAATGAAGGCAGTAAGAAAGAAAGAAAACAACAACGAGTGGGTGAATTAGTGGTTGATTAAACTAGTGGCTGGTGGCTAGTGCCGAGTGGCATTTGGCAAGCGAATAGGTCAAACACTAAAACTTTACACATTTGGCCAAGCGAATTAAGTAACTCTTCGCTCTTCGGCCATTTGGCATAAGTCCCAATTTCGGCACTGAGCTTAATTATTGTGGACATATAAGTGTAAGTGCTTGGGACGTTGATAACATATACATACATATATTAGAGACGCTGCTTCATTTTAGCTTTCCATATGGCTTCTGCTGTTGCGTGTGGACACAATCTAATGAACTATTTTATAACTAATTTCGTTTATCACATGCAATTCTTTTTATTTACATGCACACACGCTTTTCGATATACTATTGTAAGACACCCCTTCGATTTACTTACTTGAGTAGATAGCGCAGAAAGTTACGTTTCACGTAATACCGAAAATCCTCTTGCAGATCTATAATGCACGATATAATTAAGACGGCGACAGTGGCATTAATTTGCCGCCCGCCATTGAAGAGATAATCCAGCAGTATGACCTCCGGATAAATTTCTGGCCAAAGTTTCTGCACATAAAAGCAAATAGAAACGAGTATTGTCATTGGATTTTATTAGAATTGATGGGAGTGTGTGGGATGCATATGTTTTAGGAAAAATTAAGAAGTTTTTGAATATACACTAATACACTTAAATTTTTTGCGTGTGCTAGACACATTCTGAGAATTTTTTTTGGAATTTTTTTCAATTGCCTTCAAACTTTTTTTTTTATTTTAAATACTTAAATTTTGTTTCGGACATTTTCTTAAATTCACTTACAATTTTTTTTTTTAATTTTAAGAAAATTTCAAAAATTTAGAATTGTATAAGTAGCAAAAAGCTTAATAGCATAATAGCATTTTAATTTAAATAAGTATTTGTTGTAATATTTTTTAAATTTATTGAAACAATTTTTATAAATTTTCATCTACTGTATCGCATTAGGTTACTTGCAGTATAAGAACTAGCTTTTAAAATATTTCTTTACTTCTTCTTATATCTTTTATTGTTTGTTTTCGAAAATATCGTAATGTGTTTTTAAATATTTTTCAGATTTTTTTTAAAAGATTTTTAAATGTTTCCTAGGATTTTTATTTTTGAAATTTTTTGGACTTGTATTTCCTAACTAATTGTTTTAGATTAATGTTTAATTTAAATTATTATTAAATATTTGTTGGACTTTATGTAAGAAAATATTATACATTTTTAGCATCTGTAACCCGAATAACCTAAAAACAGAAAAGAACTAATTTTAGCTATTCTTCTTTACTTTTTTTGCTTTTACTTCTCACTTTCATGTCTTTTTTTTCGCTCTAAACCTGTTTTAATTTTAATATCAAATTCAATTAACTAAGATATTCGCATACAAAAACAAAACAGCATACACACATACTTAAAGCAACTATTAACTACTAACGCACCTCTTCTCGTAATATATACTTATGAATTTCCTGTAAAAATGTTATGCGCGGATCGATTTTTGTCCAAACTTTCTTAATCAAGTGCGAGGGAAATGTTTCCAGACTCAAAGCGCTGATCTGAAAGAAAAATAGCAAGACAATGGAGAAGTAAGTATATAAAAAGTTTGATTATGTAAGTGTTACAAAGTTCAGAAATGTTAAAGTAGTTATTAAAAAATGGAGAAAATAGTGGGCAGCGTTAGCAGATTAATTTGAGGAAAGTTTGCAGTAAGAAAGTTAACACAAAATAATGTCAAATTTTAAAAGTATAAATACAAGTTTTATATGGAAAATTTTGCACACATCTCATGGCGTAGTTTATGCTTATAATGACGCAAAACTTAAAATAAAATATTGTCAATTTGATTTATGAATTATTAACACTTTTTCTTTTATCCATATGAATTTTTGCTTTTATTTAGTCCAACTTAACTCAATTTTAAATAATAGAAATGAAGAAAATTTAATAAAAACAAAAATTATATTTACAGATATGTACTTCAATATCATGCGATTGACTTTTAAAAATTCCCGTAGCCGATCTCCAGGAGTACTTCGAAAAAATGTGAAAGACGAAAAAGGTAAACAATAATTTTCTGCTGCAAATAATCAAATCCAAAACCGAAAAAAATTATCACTACTATAGATGAAAACAGTTAATGACAAAAGCGCTAGTCAAAATTTTAATTTTTGTCGAATAGCCGGCTTCCCAAAAAAAGGATTTTTTGAAAAAATTTGCACTTTAAAGTTGCTTAAAATATTAATATTAAAAATCTGATTTCTTCAATTACTACCAGGCAATTGTATTTTATAAGAAAGTATTGTGAAAATTTCAAGTTGTTTCAGCCGTTTCGGAGTAATTGTCCTCACCGACACATCGTTTCGAGGAAAACTCGTTTACAGTTTTTTGAGCGAATTAAAGTAAGTTAATCTTACAAATACGACCATATCTCTGCAACTGTTTGCTGGATCAGCTCTAAATTTTCCGAGCATATTCTTAAGTATACGTACATTCGATACATATTATGTAAAATTTACAAGTGGCTAGAAGCGCTTAAAATGTGCGAGGTGTACTTACATGACCTCCGAAATCAATATTTTTAATTCGAATATCTATCTATGTGCATATGTCTCAATTATTTTATGTTGCCACAGTTTTAAAGCAGTAAAATGTATAAGGTAATTAACTTAATTTACCATATGCATACACATGCACGCACACATAACGTAGTGGAATTTTTGAATTACAGTTATATACACTTCCACTGCGACTTGAAAAAACGTGTTGCCTACTTCTGAGCGCCATAATTGCGAAATGCGCTTGAATTCACGTTAATTACAGTTACACTCACTCATACGAGTATATGCACAAACACTTAGAAATCTGTGCGGGCGCATTATTTCAATTTTAGTTAAAGTTTAAATACATAAACAAGTACCAAGTATATATGTGTTATACAATATATGTATAAGTAAGGCATATAATATACTAGCGTGTGAAGTTAATTTCTTTTATATTAGCCCATAAAGCGTTTTTACGATGAAACAAACCAAAAACCGACAAACAACTGCCTGTATCCACTTCATTTAATTGCAGCCACCAGGTTGCTGAGGCGATGATGCGTGCAAAGTGGTATTATCATTTAATTTTTTATGATTTTTTATATTTTTTTCGTTGGACATTTACTTATTAAAAAGTAAATACGCATTATTTATATCTATATTTACTTATTTGTATATATTATATATATGTCTATGTGTATATATTTATATAAATTTATTTTTTATTTTTAAAATTAATTCTCTTCTTAATTTTGTAGCGTCCAATTAAACTCCCCCGCTATTTGAAGTTTATTGTTCAAATGTGCACCACTTAGGTGTTGGCAAACGAAATACACAGTGAAATTAAAGAATTTTATTAAAGCGTTTATATGCTGTTCTGACAATTATTTGTTGTTGTGGCGGTTTTTCATTTGTAATTAATGATGTGTGCCTGCTGAAATATGATTTGGCTGACATATGTATATAAGTATGTATGTGCGTATGCATAAATCAAGGTGTTTGGAAAACAAAAACATTAACATATATATATTTCTACGTTTATGTATGTGTATCAGCATTATTATTTGATAAATTATGAAACTTTGCTGTTGCAGCTTTTTTCTTATTCATACACATTTCACCTTCCTTCCTCTTGTTTTAGATTATCAAATGCTGCACTTTACTAATTAACAATATGACTGAGCAAAATTTGCGCTCAACACGCCGCTGGTGCACAGCTCATCGTTAGCGTTAAGCAAAAATATCGGTACTATATAAAAATATATATGTAATTTGCTACTGTCGTTCCTACATACATATGTATATGTGTAACTTTTATATACTATTTCTTAATATATGTATTCATATGCGTGCCTCCGGTCGGTGAAGTGTAATTGCAGGTGCAAATGGCCTTCAGCAGTCACGCAAGAGCAACTGTTACAAGCTTTGCCTTTAGTTGGGAAATCCAACAACCAGCTATCAACTATTTACGTATATAAAGAATTTAAAGTTTTCTAAGGCCAAGTCATGCACTGCAATTTTCGAAGTCTAATTACGAACGCAGTATGCTTGAGTTATCGATTTCTTTTTCAGCTTAAACTTGCAACATTTGTTGCCATACTCTTTGAGCAGATCGGTGTATATAGCACGCAGATATATAAATAAGATATAGTACGGAGAGTGCGAGGGAGAAATAAGATAAATCACATTAACTAAAGGATTTTAACCGAAGAATATATATTAAATTCTAGAAGAGAAGGACACTGACTCTGAGGCGCTTCAGTTAAGACTGGAAAATCACAAAAAGTTGCTGATTTCATACCAAGAACACAACGCTTCTAAGGAGAAACAGCTAAAGATGTTTTTTCGAAGATCAACGTATTTTAAGACTTGATCGATTGACAGAAAAGGATATGGGTGCAGCTAAGAGAGTTAAACAATGCATTCGTTTCTCACCTAAGATATTATGTACACACCAAACATAACAAATTTAATAAGGGAAAATGGGAGGGAAAAACTTACTGCAAGAGAGGGGCGGTGAGCTTTTCTCCGGATGGATCAAAGCTTGCGTGGAAGGTTGGTGAAGAAGTACACTGTCGAGAACTATTCATTCACCTTCCTGATCACTGCCGCGTCTTTCAAGTGGAAGTGGCGTTCAAAAACGTATCAGTAGTTCCGGAGCGCTGCTTCCTTCAGAGTGGTGACTACTAACAACAATAGTAGGACAACGATTAGACTTGAGCTCGCTGACTGTACGCCTAAGACTGGTAAATATATATCTAGACTCCTTATATCAGGCGTCGAGTTACTCCATGAGTATAATGGTTTGGATGCCTGTACACAGCGGTATCGCAGTAAACTGTAAGGCTGACGAACTTGCTAGGACTGGTACATCAATCACGCTAACTGCAGAATGGGAACGGTTAGGATCTCCTTGTGCTTCTTGCAGTTCACTACTGGATTGTCAGACCTTAGATCAGCTCAGCAAGCATTACTTTGGTCAACTACTAGCAACTGTGCAGTCGTAAAGTTCGGGATAAATCGTACGATGTCTAGTAAGCTCTTCGCCCTCAGCAAAGTCCAGCTTTCAATGGTCATATACTAACTGACTGATCAAGATTTGAAAGGTAAGATTTGAAAATTTTATCGGATGCCACTTGCATCGGCTGCATGAAATAAGATAATTCCACATATCAGGGTTTTAATCCATGTTAAAAAATTGTGGTACTACTAAGGCTACTACCTAAACAATTTATAAATAGCGTCTACTAACTTATCAATAAGTGTTTTATACATACGTACACTTCTCATTAGATACTTGTAGCGCTTCTCTATTTTCAGTGTAAACTTTTGCTCGGCCTCCTTTAATTTGATCTCATAACGCGCCAGTATGATCGCCTTTTGTACCTCTGGATCGACCGGTTGCAGGCCTTCAATGTACTTGAATCTTCTGCGAATAATAATGGTAATCATTGCATAATCATATATGGTAAATAAATATGTTTAACTAGTGGCACTCAATTAGATGTACCCACGTCCGGTGAATGAAGAATATGTACACGTGGTCATACAAATTCTTGCTACTTTATTTTAATGAGCCTTGACATGTCTTACTGTGTGGCATTACATAACAGTTGCCACTGCGCCGTGGGCTACATATGCAACGGCAAGCGCCATATTAATTAAGAGCCCCACGAAGGTAATGTTGCACATGCACCCTAGTGGAGATGAGCGATAATTTTACGCCCACACATACATATATATATATATATATAAATAAATGTACGCTTGCAAGCAAAGACTTGTCGGGTTGCAACATGGCCGCAGGCTTCAGCTGCAATACTACACATTATGCATGGCGCTTGCAATATGCCGTTCTATACAAAATTGTTTTTGTTTGTTAGTTTTGCCGCACACAAATGTTTTGCGGCGTTTTTATGCTTGCTTAGTTGGTCTTCACTTACTCGCGCTCGTAGCGTTTCATGCACTTCATGTAGTCCTCGAAGGTGGGGAAGTCTGAGGGTCGCAGCATGACATCGTGGCGGTTGCAGGGATTTTTCTTTTGCTATTCAGGCGGAGATAGTGCAGAAAAGAAATAAAATTAGTTGATATAAATATGTACGTAAGTGCTTAGTTAAGAACAAAAATTAAGAGAACAATACTTTTTACAACAACAGCGACGAGAGGTGAGGCATTGCGTGACAGTGCTTGCAACTTCTTTCAACCTTTGTCTGTTCGTTCTCAACTTTCTTAGAGTTCAGTTATATTATTATAATATTTTTGTTATGCCATTTTCTTTATTGTTTGTTGTTTGCATGCCAAACGACTTATAACTTCAGCACTTTCAAAGCTGCTACCTATGCCGCTTTGTTCTCAGCATACTTTTGCAAATATTTGTACTTACACCCCCGTCGTCCACCCACCTTTTTCACTAAACGCTTCGTCTTCTTTTCCGTGCATGCATCGCCGGCTCCTCGCTCCATTGCGCTGGACATTTTCTTTGATGCCGTTACCGACTTGCTTTTTGTTGTTGTTGTTGCTGTTGCTGTTTGTGCTGTTGTCGCACCAACACCCTCGGCCTGGCGTTTTAAGTTCTCTCTGGCACGTCGCAATGTTGGCTCTATTAATTTGTCTATAACTTTACCCATGCGTATTAGTTCGTTCCGGCATTCTGTAAGGCAAGGCGTGCCACATGGAACATAAATGTATACATTCACACACACACATGTACACGTACACATATAGATAAAGAGTAGAAAAAAAAACATGAGAATCAACATACATAAGTGTTGGCGTTGGCGTTGGTATGCTTGTAGCTGCAGCAGGTGGAAAACTTTCGCATGAAAAATGCAAAAGTATAAAAGTGTCTAAGTAGCTTGAGAGCGCAAGTAAATAAAAGAGTGGTACTAAAGCGTCTTTAGCGAAAAGCATACACATTTTTAAATGTATGTATATACACGCATACACGTTACTGCTGCGCGATACCGCGCTTGGTAGTCAGTTTCAGCTATTTGGGAATTTTATTGCATACCTTCAGGCGTACGCAGCGCGTAATGATCGCCAGGTGTGAATTTGAGCGCTCTGCGTGGCCGTCGTAGTGCCTCCACGCGTAGATCGCGTGCCGTTTGTGTGTGTAAGCCGCCTGCAAAATAAAGGAACAGCAAATTTGTTACAATATTTGTTGTTGTTAATAGCTGTAGGGCTACTTGCCTATAACATCCGAGGGACTGCCGTGCATTTTGCGCAATTCATTCGTGTACAGTTGGCTCTTGGTGCGCATATCTGGATAGAAGATGCGTACGCGGCGCGCGCAATAGATTTGCAGAAGCTCGCCGGTAACGCGATAAACCATCTCTTCGCTGGGTTCCACTGGGGAAGAGTCAATTACATAATTAAGTTGTTTATGATTAAAAGTTTTATGAAAAAGTATTACTCTTTTCATAAAAAAAAAAATTATGGAGGTATAAAAATTTTCATTGGATTTGCACAAGCATTTATGATTTAAAATTTTAACACTAAAAAATATATGACTCTAAAACTGTTTATATTATGAAACAGAGTAATTTTTGCGAGTTCGTTAGTCAAAAACAAATTTTGTACCTAATGAAGGGCAAGACAAAGGCCTTAACGAATTAAAGCATAAATTCAAAGTATAATAATTTTAATAATAATTTTAATAATAGAGGGTTATAAGTAATATTAAAAATGAAAAACGCATTCAATACAGATCGCTAATTAGCATAGCTCTTAACATCTTCTGGCTAAAATTCCCCTCCATTAACATTCCGTGTCGCTCCCCGCACAATTACTGTACTTTTATGTATTTTAATTTATGGGTATCTTTTTACTTGTCTACGAATTTGTAGAATATATATTTTCAAATAATAAATTTTAATATTTAACTTGAATGTTTACAGAGCGACAGTGATCTGAAGAAGCGAATAGGGGAATTTTTCACGAATTTTTTTGTGAAAGGTATTTATAAATAGACTATAGGAAAAAGTAATATACGATCGATCAGAGTTCGGGAAAAGAAAGGGGAAGGCGTGCTTAAACTTTTAAGGATTATAAATCATTTATCTCGATTTTCAGCAAAACTACGAGTCGTATTGAACCATTCATAAAATATTTTGTATGAAATACCCTGTGCGCTGTCAAAGTCCCGCGGCCACGCGACCGATGCGCGTATTTCCGACAACTGACCGAAATTTTGTTGTGTAAAAGTGTAAATTTTTTAGAAAGTATGGATATAAATATTGTGCTCTATTCAATAAAGAAAAGTAGTGGTGGAGTGAATTTAAATAGGGCCGTGTGTTTATTCGCTGTTTTGGGGCTCTAGGTCGAATGAAGTTATTTTACACAGAAACTAAAAAATGGAAAGCTTTAATCAAAGTACACAATCTATAAAGAGCTAGACTTTCCAGTAATTTTCAAAACGTATTAACCCAATTAAAAGATTATATAGCGTCTTTGGCTGGAATTTATTACATATTCTGAAACTTTGGCTAGTGTTGATCGTGGGTGGAGAAATACTTATTTATTTTATTCGATGGCATCATCGTGAATCTTCTTCAAAATTCTTGATTCAAGTTAAGATTTCTAAAATCTTAGTTAGTCTAAATAATTTTGAAAATTAATAAATCATTACTAGGCTTTTGTAAACAAATAACAAAATAATTTGTTTCTTCTTTCCCTAAATACATTTCGTCACATGAAGATGACTTAAAAAGAGAAAACTATTACTGTGACAATTATGTAATTACCAGTGATGTAGTTTTCCGTAGATAACACCTTATTTATCATAACTCGAAATACAATTTGGAGTAAACTAATGAGAAAATAAACTTTGAACTAAATTTGAGATATGCATTTTAAATGTATAGTATTCATTTTTATACATTATAGAAGTAAATCGGTAAGGAGTACCTAATAAAAGTAGTTGCTAAGACAAAATATATATTTAGTGAATTTTAATACTCTCGTTTAGTATACATTTATATATTCAATAGTTACAAGCGAGAAAGCTTTGTGTTTTTAAATTATATGATGCACATATTGTGTATGTTTTTTTTTACTTCTGCTAAATACAAACTCTTATAAAAAAATGTTTGTTTTATTGCAAAATATTTAGTGCTTTTCTTTCAAAAACTCTTTTTCTGCGTTTTTTCTTAAATTTAAAAGCTGGCAACTATTGTCATCTATATATAAAAACAATGTTGTAAAATATATTGCATACTTTTAGGAGCAGGTAAAGATATTATTGGCTACACTGTGCTCCACATCAATGGGTATAACATTTTGATAACCTCACAACGGATTAAAAATTTGTAATAAAATACAGAGTGCCACAACATAATTTCCAAAGTAAAATTAGTTTTGGGAACCATCCAATGCTTTCAACTATCGATAGTTAATAACTGAATGATTTTGACTATCGAACTAATTTTTTCATTCATTTATTTATGCAAATTTAATAACAAAGGCCATTGCCACTCCCAGAAAACATCATTATTCAAAAAAAAAAAGTTGCTAAAACTAAGCTCCCCAATACGATACAAGACTGTTATTTGGTATACAGGATATACATCTGCATTTTAAACCTTTTTTAAAAAGTGAGCGCGGCCTCACCCCCAATAGGTTTAATGCGCATATCTCCTAAGTCGCTAAAGTTATAGGAACCACGTTCAAAATTAGACAGCGGGCGTGGCACCGTCCACTTTTAGGTGCAAACCCATATCTTGGGAACTGCTTAACCGATTTCAAGCAAATTCGTTACATAACATTCTTCTCATATTTCTATGTTATAGTGCGAAAATCGGCGAAATCGGATTACAACCACGTCTATTTCCCATATAACACCATTTTAAATGCCATCTGATTCTCTCACTTTCCACTACGCAAATTAAGCGACAATCGGGGTAAAACTTTGCGTGAATAATGCGATTAAAGTATGCCACCTTGTGTCGAAAAATTGTCTAAATCGAACGAAAACAGTTCATGTCCCTGGGTACTGAATATGTGGACCACAGTGTCTCTAGTTGACTTTTTACCGAAAATATCGGTCAATGTGTAAGAGATATAATTGAAATTCATATAATAAAATAAATAAATGAAACTCTCGATAAAAGTATGTTTTTGTGCTAAAAATGGGTTGAATCAGTTCAATACTTCCTCATATACCTAATATAAAGATATTTGAACTTCCGGGTGACTTTACACCGCATGTATCTCAATGAAAATTAGAAAGCATATTTTACTCATAAAAAGGTATCAGGTAAAAATTTAACTTGGCCCCCATGTAAGTAATATCAGGATTTTCGAACATACGTCTGACTTTACTCCATATGATTGGTGATGGTATGTGAGGTATCTTAATGAAACAGTGGGAGCATTTTATTAGTCTGTGGTATTGACAAAAATTAATAAAAACGGCTTAATACTACCTTTAACCTCCATATACTTCCTTTAAAGCTTTTCATTATTCTAACCAGTTTTATGTTGAATATGTCGGTCAGTGAGTATTAATATTATTTTTTTATATATCAAATTGCTTCAAAATATGTTCTCGAGTATAGCTGAGCAATGTTAAATTAATATTTTTCTCTATCCCCAGTATATATATTATTTCCGTCTTTACATCTGTTTTAAACCGTTCCGGTTGATCAAAATGTGATATTTTAATGATGTTAAGTGAATACGTTTTTTTTAAATTATGTGTTTTGACGCTGAATTAGAGTGAAATTAGTGTATACCTTGGTCTAAACCTCACACCTTCATATAATGAATTCCGATTCTCTTTGGTCGAGTTACAAATTGCTCTAATTAATTTCACTGTGAATATAAATAACTGAGGCAATATTTCCTACTTCTAATTATTAAAATATAAAAAGAAATCTCAAAAGCGTATACCATTTGACTTCTTAAAAGTATAAAATGTTCGGTTACATCCAAACTTAGCCTATCCTTACTTGTTTTTATTTAATTCAATATTTTAGTAAAACTTAAAGATAATATAACGTTCAAAATAAAATAAAATAAAATTGCCATTTAAGAATGTTATTTGTAAAGCTTTTGACCTTTTTGTCTATCTCTTCTGTCATCTATTATTTGACCAGCTTTAGACAAAACCTTAGAGAAAACCAGAAGGAACGGAAGTAGCAGGTATACACAAATATTTTTTGACAGTTCGTAGAGTTCTAGAAAGGCTGATTTTTTGTTGTCCCAAAAGTTCAAAGGTTTTTTATGTATTTCAAGGAAATCTTGCCTAAGATATTGCTCTAAAGCAATACTACATTAACACTAGGGGACGTAGTGGCAAATAGTTTTGCTTCCGCTACTTTTTGGTCAAGCAGAGTCCAAAGAAAAATTTACTTTTATCCGCGGGTAATTTTATTACTGAGACTATGGAATCCCTTCAGTTTCTTTGAATTAAAGCTGTTCCCTTATTTGCCAACCGTTTTGAGCCTTAATTGAGCTAGTTACATTTCCAAATGCAATCTTTTTCAACCGGGGGTCTAAGAAAGTCGACTTGACACACATCTTATCAGAATATAATTGGCCAAACCGTCGCGAAAAGTTCTGTTGTCATATGTTCTATCGGCTTTATTCTGTCAATAGAATCTGACCCGTGCTTCGCGTTAAAACGCACCGTTGAATTTTGGGCTGGTGAATTTCAAAGTGATCGTACTAGGCTTGAAGACGATCCGCGCGAAGGACGACCAAAACCACAACCACACCAGAAATCATTGAGTAAGTTCATAATATTGTTAGTGAAGACCCAAGTTTGACTAAGCGTGAAATTGCTAATGCCATAGCCATCTAAGCCGAACGAGTACTTCATATTTCACATGCAGGATTACATATGAAAAAATTGGATCGAAAACAAATTTCTCTGCATAATTTGGAGCGTTTTAAGCAGAATAAATCCGATTTCTTGCGACGTTTTATAACAATGGATAAAACTTGAATCTACCAACCCGGATCCTAAATTGTAACAAGAACGTTTACAGCAGACAAAAGCTGGTTGTTCAGCTCCAAAGCAGGTGAAGTCACAACGACCAGCAAAGAAGGTTATGGCATCAATTTTTTCGGATGCAAAAGAAATTTTGTTAGTTAATAATATTATTGTAGCCTTTTGAATCAGTTGTATGAAAAAATTCGTAAGAAAAAACTTAGTTTGCAGCACAATAAAATAAAAGACAATGTGAGCAGGTGCACAAAGGTGTTTTAACACTGAAAAATTTCCACGATTTAAAGTACGAATTGCTTGAGCATCAACCGCATTCACCAGATTTGGCACCCAGTCACTACAATCACTTCAGAAATCTGAAACAATTCCTTCGTGGAAAGCGTTTTTCGTCGAATGAAGAAGCTATTACAGCCGTAGACGGGCATTTTGCAGAGCTTCCGGAGAGTCATTAAAAAGATGGCATAAAATTAGTGGAGGGTCATTGGAAAAAGTGTATGGAAGTTAAGGGAGATTATATTGAATAAAAAACTATATTTCCTACTAAAAACAGCATCTTTTCATTTCGAGCGCAGAAACTTTTAAACCAGCCTGTAATTACAATTTCCAATCGCAATACCTAACCAAGTTGCCAACTTGCTAAATTCAAAAACATTGGAATTTTTCCAGCCAATTGGAAACTGTCAATAAATCTTGTCATATATCACCGAATGGTCTTCTTACTTACTTCTGGATGTCCCCTATATTATACCTAAATCTATATTTATTACGAGTAGTATTTTCATTTAAATTATTTTAAGCATATATTAACATCTACCATTCATACATAATCTAACATAAATCATTCAACATAATTTTGAAATACACACAATTTAAGCATTATTGAAGCCCTTGAAAGCGAATAAATAAATTCGTACAAAACCGCTTTGCTAGAAATCCACTTACATACACAAAAAACCGTTCAAAATTGAAAAATTACTTGTAGTATTTGAAAGCTATCGAATGAATGAAAATTGCTAAACTATCGAAAAACTTAATAGTTGTTATTCGATAGTTCCCATCACTAGTTAAAATATTATTATATAAAGCACATGCCTAAAAAATATATTTTTAATTTAATTATTAAAAAGTAATAAAATCGTAAAAGTCGTTTTTAAGGGGTTACTATTTCTAGAACATTGTCCTAAATTCTCAAGTTGATACCAGTAATAGTTTTCGAGATACAACTGTGAAAAGTTGCGCGCTCGAGGTCAGCTATATGTTCACTTAAAACTTTAAACGCGTTTTCCTGGAAACGGTGTTTTCAAAGTTGGTTGTCAAGATTTCTTGCGAACTACTCAAGCAAACTTAATGAAATTTTATACGGGGGTTTGATATACAATTTACTCGTGCTTGGATGAAGGATTTTTTTTTCACTTACAACCATTTTAAAAAATAAATGTCGAATAAATTTGACCGAAATTTTCATTTTGTTGGAAAAAGGTCTGCCAAAATTCCAACTTAAACTTTTTTTCCTTCGTTCAAGCACGAGTTTATGGTCTTAACTAAAACACATATATATTTTTTTCATTTTAGATGATCCTGTCCGGAGTTATGCTGACAACGCGGACTCAACTTTTTTCGAGGGGTCACCGATTATTATTATTATTTTTTTGAAAATCTCAGAAATTATTCCTTAAATGTGTATCTTTAACACAAAAAAAGTTTGAATTAAATAAATAATTTTTTGTATAGTAAAAAAAAAATTATTAAAAATAGGCCTTTTTTTACCCGACGAAACCTATGTAATCCCTTAACTTTAATTTTCATATGAGAAATCCAAAATGTAGGCAAAATGATTGTACTTTGTACATATGTTCAATTGCATCTATGCATGTGCCATATGTATATATAAAAGTACGTACGGCACTTGTATATAGTATTTCTCCTCTGCTTGCAATAAAACGTAATAGGACGAAAACTGTAGGTGAATTATTCATTTTAAAAATGTATAAGCGTTAAGAAATTATACGGCGGGGTGCTTATTTTGTATTAAAATTTTTTTGTAAATTTTTTTGGGGTTTTCGTGTATCCAGTGGGCTTGAAAGCCTCTGGTGGTTTAATTGTAAGTATCTTTTATATTTATATATATGTATACTACATTAAAAAGTCTGACTTACTATTTTCCCAGCACTTCGTAATCCATGGAAATTGGTCACAGGCTGAAAAACATGAATGTTAGAAAATTATAAAAATACGACAAATACTATATAATGTACTATAATATAATGCAATTTTTTTATTTATTTTTTCAGATTTGTGGTTCTAGCTTTTCCGATGTTATGTATTGGAGAGCCTTAAAATAAAACATATTTTATTGTAGATGTAAAATTAATGCTTATTTCGCTCTCACGCTATCTTTCAGAAACTAATTAAATATTTTACCAAATTATTTGCTCTTCGACCTCTTTCTACTACGAGCTTGCCTCATAATATGCACCAGTACATACAGTTGTTATATCTCGAAAGTGTCACGCACATTCATGCATAGTTAATTATGCAAAATATAACATTATACACAAGCTACGTGAAGTCCACAAGTAGTTGGCAAGAGCGACTGCTCTTTAGTGTACACTTAAAGGCATTGAAGTTGAAGTGACATAAAACGTATATAAATATATATATGCATACAGTGTTATAGAAGTGTGTAAGCACACGTTGGGGTATTTAAAAACATGCGTGATAAGCAGTCACTAAAACACATGTACCACTACTGTGACAATGCCAATGAAGACCGAAATTTCAACTTTTTGTTTTGCACTATTTTTAAGTTTTTTTAAGGCAATGAAAGCCTATAGTACTGGCCATGTACAGCTGTAAGCCGAACTTAACCGTCCCATCGTCGTATGACGGGCAGCCGCTGGTAATACAATAGCGGTTATATTTATATAACCAACAGTAGCTTATTTCACCAATTATATATTAATTTGTTCAAGCTAACTACAGGGTTATGACTTACAAGAATTCCAGTTCTATGCCGAACCATGTTTCGAAGTTAACAGTCTAAAATCTATCTCCATGCTCATTTTAGACATGCTGACCATTCTGTATTGAATAGTATTGCCATAGTTAAATAAAAAAAAACTGATGATGGCACAATATTATTGAAGCGATTTACAACTTCTAGACGCTTGATAAGTTAATAGAGTCTGGAACCATATAATATGTCTTTGGGTACAGCTGAGCAAATGTATTTAACATATCTCCATTGATATTTAAATTTCACTTCCATCGAACGTCGTTCCGAACAATATGACCACTACTGTAAAAATTTCAGGCGAGTGCAAAAGGACTGGGAAGTATGTGAAAATTCCCAGAGGCCATTTCGGGCATACTTTGGACATACCAAAGCGGGCTGCTGCTGCCGAATCCAATATCATCAGTAGTAGGCCTCGGCGGGCATCATTATGGCCTTTGGCAAGTTGAAATAACATTTTTATGTAAATGCCGTTATCGATTTGCATACGCAAGGAGTGTAGTGAAAGTAATAGGCGCTTCATTTCATTAATATACCGTCAAATGTATATATGTATGTGTTGCGTTGAATATACACGCATACAGAAAGGAAAAGCCCATACCCATAAGCGGCTTTCGATACACTCGCAAGTATTTAGTGCCATTTGCAATGCTTTGACCGCATAAATAATTTAAAAGCAAATGTACCAAATAGGCGCTGGAGAGTAGGCCGCAAAATTGAAAGCGAAAAATGTGTGTTGCTTTTTTATAGACACCGCAACGGCAGTGAATAAAAATTTTATGACCCTTGAATTCTACAGACATATGTACTTGTATATTTATATATGTGTATGTATTTATGTGCTATTACTATGGACACTTTTATACTATATTTGTAGACTGAAATATGTGTGTGTACGTGTAGTATTGTTTTAGTTTGTATTATTGCTACTGACTTATAATTTTAATGTTCTCAATTCCATTGAGATACGCTCGCAGTGACATTTAAAGTTTTTAACAGAAATATTTTTGGAGTTTCGCATACGCTTTACTATATATATATGTATGCATATTACGTACATATGTATTTTTAATGACACAAATACACTTTAGAAATTAAATGTTCATTTCTGTAACGCATATGTAAGTAGTTTGCAACACGTCAACATGAAAAACAAGAAAAACCGTTAACTGGTCTATTCCAAATTTTGTGAATATAACTTGACAAGTAAAAAACTTTTCTATACAAAGATTTCGATCAACCAGTTTTTATGGCAGTTATATCTTATAGTGGTCCGATATCAGCGGCTCTGACAAATGAGCAGCTTCTTGAGAGAAAATGCAAACATCTCAAAAACTAAGGGACCAGTTCGTGTTTATTCAAACAGAAAGTCGGACAGACAAACGGACATGGCTAAATCGACTCAGCATGGTACGCTAGTCATTTATATATACACTTTATTGGGTCTCTGACGTTTCCATCTTTCTGTTACAACTTCGTGGCATGAAAAGAGTTACCTTCTTTATTATAGTTCTTAATATGGATTGATTTTAGTTAAGATCGGGTGCAACATAAATACGGCTTAGATTTTCTAATATCGCTTAGTCTTGATTGTTCGAAAAATAAATAATTTTCCTCTACTTTAGTTACTATCAGCAATGACAGTATTGAGTATACATATATCTTTAGAGCTTTAGATTAACTGAATCCGTTCGGATGATATACAATATATTGGGCCTTATAAAACGTCCACCACTTTTGTTTTTGACTTAATGTGAATAACATTCAAAAAGAGGTGGCAACACTCATGAAAACTTTCCAGCAGAAATCTTTGTCAAACTTATTGAATTTGTCGCTAAATCTATATTATTTGTTGGTTTCACGTGGCAACCTTTCTCATATATGTTTCGAAGCTTTTTTAAACCTCTTTACTTCGATACCCATATTGTAACAGTTAGCTTATCAAATGTATTGAATGAAATTTATAATATATGTATGAGCAAGTGGCAACTCACTCCATAAAAAAGTTTTTAATTTAAGGAAGCTAACTTTTCTGTTAAACGGATAATTTAAGTAATTTTGTATCTTATAATTTGTCCAAGTTGAAATTTTTAAAAAGGTGGCAACATTTTAAACATTTGAAATTTTTGTATGAAGTCATATGGGTATTATATAAAGATATTTAAATCTGTACAGACTTCACCATGGTGGCGGACTATTTTCCGTGACGGATTTTTGTTGCGCAACATAATTTCGTTGCAGTGTAATAAATTTACTATTAGAACTTGAGAGCTGACGAAAGTACATCCTACTATTATGTTAAATATGTCACTCGCCAATAGTTAAAGAATCATTTCTACCTTAGTGTGTGTGTATGCAGGCACTCACCTCGACTATTGAATGCATATTTATGATCCTTTTTGTCCTTTAACATTTCGAATTTTTGCGGCATTACAATATCCTCCAATTTCAGTTCCTGAAGACTGTCATCATCGCATTCTTCATACTCCCATTTGACATGGTCCATTTGATAGATGTGAAAGTCCAATTCCTTATTGCAGCGGCCCACAATTTGGTCGACCTGCATGTGAGCTAAAGAAGAAGCAAACAAAAAAAGCTTTTAAACATCACATAATGTCTGCAAGGTTACCAATCTTTTCCTCGATGTACGCCTTTGCTGGATCAAGTGGCAGCTCGTCGAACTTGTACTTGAACGTGTAGAACGGACAGTCGACGATGTTACGACGCGCCGGTGTCGACGGATCGTTGCGTCGTTTGCGCGTCTCACAACTTTTCAAGTTTGTAATGCGCTTTGGCCTCCGCGGCTGCACACAGTAGGGCCTAGCCTCCGGCTGTACAGACTTCTTCATGCTCTCGGCCTACAATAAACTTCGCCGAAATGCGCCTCTGCTCCTCCTTCGCTTCTGCTACGTGCAATTGCACACAATTATACAATGACGATGTGCCGTTCCTTTTCGGCTTATAAAAATATGTTTTTTTTTGTGTCGTAAAATTTTTCACAGATTTGTCGTTAACGCGTTTGCCGTTACCGTGCTGCAGATTTTTGCAGCTGTAAATATATTTGATATAATATTTGTCTTTGCGAAGAGGCAAATAAAATATTTTTCAATATTTTTCCGTCATCGCGTTTGACTGTAACAGCCCCACCGTCAGGGAGTAAAATGAAATCGAGTTAAATAAATGGAATGACGTTGAAATGTGAAGGGCGCACTGACAAATAGTCTAGAAAAATACGGGGAATTGAAAATATTTGAAAAGCATAAGCCTTGCCAGGTGATTTTGTTTATAAACAACAAGCGCAAAGGCAGTAGTCGGCTGCCAAGCAACGCATGCGGTCGCTGAGCGTAAAGGCGTTTGAGCGGATCTGTACAGGTGGTAGCTGCTCGTTGGTTGACAGTTAGCGGTTGTTATTTACGTTGCCATGCGGCGGCGAGCGCTGCAGTGCGCTAAAGTGGCATGTCCACTGCGAATACACAATCGGACGGGCTTTGTTGATTGCCGCCGTGGCATATTTACAAATAATATTTCATATTTTATCAGTCGGATTGCTGATTTTGTTTACAAAAGTTTAATCAGCGCAACATGTTCCTAAAGGAATAAAGAATTTTTAAGTTTTACTAGAAAAATACATAAATCTCATAAACACAGTGCACCTTTATATATAGGCTACATTTTTAAAATAATGAACAAATATATGTTTAAATTTATATTAAGAGAAAATGTTCAGCTATCATTACCTAATTTCATTATTTCAAGTATGAATTGAGGAAATGTTTTAGGTAAATAATCGCACTAGAAGAATTTTTTTAACTGATGTCTCAACTTTAATTTAAAAGAGGATATACAACCTGAATGCATCTGGTCAGGGAAGCTAATCTTTCTTAGATTCTAAAGTTCAATATTAGTTTAAATTTTTTGAAAGAAAATATCGCATATCGCTAAATATATAGGTTTTATACATGAAAGTGCGGTCCATGGTTTCATAAATATTTTAACCTAAATGATACGTATGTTGAATTTACATTTAATATCCTACACCAAGGAAGCGTTGGATCATATGTTGTGCATTTGTCTCGCATTGGCAAGGCTACGCTTTAAGCTTTTTTGGGCCGCACTGGAAGAGATATTATCAGTAAGACCACAGAGTCTGTTCAAATTCGCGTCAAGGACAGGCATACTTAAAGATGAGTACTACTCATTGATTTCGTAATGGAACTTCATCTGGTAACGCAAAGAAACATAACTGGTTAATGCGTGGCTCATTAGCCTACCAGAATAACCTAACCTAATATCCTGTCATTCTTGGTTTAGGACTATTTATCTGAATCTCTGATAATCTTATTCCTGTTTCGACTATGTATGTAGTTGATTTTGTTGTTGGTCTCAACTTTCGAAATCTTCAGCTAATATTTTTATTGGTTTTTATTTAACACTCTAAACCACTTTGCCTTTCCAAAAGAGAGGGTATCTGTATACTGCTTCGTTATTTTCTTGCGATCATGTAGGATCAGTTAGATGAGATAACAAAACTTTGGTTAATCTAAATCTGATAATTTCCTTTCAGTTGTCATGGTGTATCGAACTTCGAGTATACATCGATCACATCATTTCCTCCCTACTAAGCTGCTCAGTTGCGTAAACCGCCGATATCGAAGCAGTATAGCCTATAGCTGCCAAGAAAACTGACCGATCTAAATTGAGTCCTTTTATGGAAAACTTTATTAATTGACGAAATATCTTTATGATATTTGGCACAAGTGATTTTTTAAGTCAACGGTAACGAATATATATTTTTCAGATCGAATTACAATAGCTGCCATACCAACTAACTGACCGTAATGTATTTTAAAATTTAAAATACTTTATTTAAAAACATCTTCAAATAACAGTATTTTTTTTTAATCTATCCAAAGTATGCTAATGCATCTAATTTCCTGCTTCACTGCTGCCAAGTGCCGACGTCTGCCGGGCAAAATGTTTACACTCATAAAATCTCCACTTTTATTAGCTGCTCAATAAACTAAGTCTAAAGCACTCCATTCAAGAGTCGAGCCACTCAGACCCCACCGTATAATACATAAAATATTATTTGGACACAGCATATAGCGGGAAATTTATTAATTTTCAACAACGCAACGCAGCGGAATAGCGCCGCTCAAATATGTGGCACATAAAAATCTCTTTAAATATTAATAAAAATGCGATTTGGTTGTGCCAAATTATGACTAAACGCACCGCAACATACAAAAATGCCTTCACACAACATACCCACGCTTTTGCATATACACGAGGCGGACGCACTAGTTGCCACACCTCGGCATTTTGGCAGCTCCTTCGGCATCGCGATAAATAACAATAAAAGTCAACAAATTAAGCGCAAACAAATTATGAGGAAGTAAGAGCACCGAAAACAATAACAAAGGCGGCGAATCGACGGTGGAGAGTAGCTGAAAATTTATATATCTATGTGTGTATATTATACAGCAACACTCAGTAAGGTAGTACTAGCTGCGAGCGCTTACGAAATATATGGTCACCGTTAGACAATGCTGAAGTCGCTCTTTAGTAGTTTTTAAGTAAAATATTAAAAAGAAAGAAATGGTCATTAGCACCTACATATATACCTATAAAGGGATTAGTTTTCTTAGAAATTTTAAAGCTTCTGCAACATTGTAACCTCAAAGTTCATTTCCCGTAGAGCCTTTTAGTTATATTCGCAGGGAAACACTCGTAGCTCCTTCTAGTAATAGTTGAAAAGAAGTTCTTAAAATTTATAACTCTCCAGAGAAACTAGATGCAACTCTTCTCCCAAGCCTAAAGAAAATATATAGAACGGAAAACGTTAGAGAAAATACAAAACTGTATATACTTTTTTTCATCGCCAAGTTAATGGAAAAATATTCTTCTAAAATCTACTTTGAATTTGGAAACTTCATCATTTATCGGATAATGTCAATATGCACACAGAAAACCGAGAAAAAGCTGGGTATAGAATATATTAACAATTGTTCCATTCATTCGTTCCATTTTCAATACCATTGGACAAAATTCCTCTCTCATTCGTGTTATACGACTTCGCATTGTTGTTGTCCAACTAATGGAAAGTTTTAGAGGGGAGTACTTCATGAGAAGTTGTTTAGTTGCATAATTATTACTTGCCGGGACGATAGCGTCATTCGTAAAAGCTATTTAATGTCGGCCAGAACAAGGACTTAGCCCGGGTCCTACGGACTCGTTAGCTACTCTACATCAGACACAAGGATTAGATAATATTCACAGGAGTTAATGGAAAGTAAATCTCTCTGAAACTCTTCGCTTATTCTACTCCAATGAAGATTTCTCCAAAACATGTATTTGAAGTAGAGCAACCGAATTTCAATTGACTCATAATATCTTCAGTGGTATTCAAAACGATATCTTACTGGATATGGATAGATCAGTTATTGGATATATACATAGATATTATTGAATATGCCGAGAGCGTTTCATTGTGATCTTGTTCATTATAATATTTTAAAATCATACTGTATGTAACTGTATGTACTGTATGTAACTCTAAGAGGTTGAACTCTAAATAGGTCAATAGACATCTAAGCGACCTTAGCGGACCCATCACTCAATCAGCCATAACACAAGTAAGTAAACTTTCCATATGTTAGCCACGATATTCACCAATTGTGCGTCGGCAGCGCTCCGTTATTCTATGACAAGTCGACGATAAGTCGGTTCGTGTACGTTCGTTAAACAGAGATGACTCTTGCAGGACGTGTAACAACGCGAAATACTTATGCAACACCTAGTTCGGTGGCAAGTATGCGGTGTAAGCAATATGAATGGCAAGGAAAAGGCGAAAAAGTGGAACGATTAATCGTCGTTGCAAATTGTTGGCACGTTTTCAATTGACAACTGCCGCCTGCTGCATGCTTGCTTTATGCCGTTAGCCGCTAACTGCTTACCATTTGCTATTTGTTGTTCTAAGCCGCCGTCTACCACGTACGTGTGCTCGACAAACAGCCGCCTAATTTAGAGCTTTGCCATGCCACAACAAATACACACACACGCACGCATATATATGAAGAATATGTAGGTATGTGTTTTTGTGCTGCTAGAAAATTGTGTGAAACTTAGAGCGTGCCCACCTTGCTTTCGGTGGTGGCAAGTAAATCACTTGGCGCTTGTTGGCTGCTGGTGCTGATGTGACCCTGTTGCATGCAACACCCTTAATTCGTAATGCCCGTAATGCCGGTGTCGTTTGGGTTAAGTCGCGCATATGGCATTTGTTGTTGTTGTTGTTGCTGTTGTTGTATTACGAATACATTGCGCAGCCAATTGTTATGGTGTTGTTGTTGTTGTTGTTATGGCTTGTCTGCATTATAGTTGAGTTGGTGCACGTTTGTTGGAGCAATTTTTCAGCGCCGCAACTTAAATATTCATTAATCAAACGACAAAGAAGACTTTGCTGCGTGGATGTTGCCTTAACGGCAATTACCGTTGGTTGCACCCATACATACATACATATATTTTAGGTATATAAAAATACTTTTAACCGGCAGAGTTTTCGTTGTCATCGTCCAACGCTTGTTCACTTGCAGTCGAAGGGTTGACATCCTTTGTGAGGAGGTGGCGTTGCCACACTTAATGCAAAACTGATGTGTTTTTAAAAACCGCCATTTTGCAACTACAGAGTTCAAGTTCGCAACAACTTAATACTAATGCATGCAAACCATTTTTGTTTTATAAACAAACCATGTTTAATGATTGTGTGTTTATCTACTTATATACATAGTAATTGAAAAGTAATGGTTTTAATTTTTTATTGTAGAGCTTTCTTATAATTACTGAGGAAGGTCGTTGCTCATTTTTGAGTGGTCACACTTTAAAGCTGGATAAGTTGTTGCATGTTTTTCAAGTGTAGGGTTCTTAGCTACGTTGTCAAGCATATCTTTTGCGACCTCTACTCGACGTCCAATGACCAATATGTGCACGATGATAATCGCGCAGTATTTCTTTAACTTTTTTGATGTTGTCGTCATTAACCGAGGTGGAAGGACGATTCGCATAGCGCGTCGTTTTTGATAAATTGACGATCTTCACTGAATGTTTTGTGCAAATTAAATACTTGTCTACATGATAACGCGGACTT